TCTAAATGAACTAAAATGAAAAAAAAAAAAAATCAGTTCCTTAGTCACATTAGCCACATTTCATGTGCTCCATAGCCAAATGTGGCTAGTGGCTACTGTGTTGGACAGCCCAATCTAGGACATTTGCATCATCGTAGAAAGTTCTGGACAGTGCTGTGGTTTGAATCTCAACTCTAACACTTGCTGGTTGTATGAGTTTGGACAGATTACTAACTTTTACTGGGCCTTAGTTTCCGCATCTGTAAAAGAGAGATCATAGTTTCTATCTATGTGAAAAGTGCTTGGATGGGGTCTGGATTCTCTTGTAAGCACTAACAAATGTTTATTATTATACTAGAGGCCCGGTGCATAGATTCGTGCCTGATCTGCACCTCTTGCAATCCTAGACCCCTCAGGGGATGTTGGAGAGCTGGTTTCAGCCCAGTCACTACAAGCCAGGTCAAGGGAGTCCACTGGTGCATGGCCTCTAGTAGGCATATAAGATCTTTGGTTAATCTCTTCCTGCCCTCGCCTTCCTCACTTCTCTCGGAGATTCATCAGTCTGTTCCATGTTTCCATGCCTGTGGTTTCTCCTCCTGCATTGAGCATTTGCCCCCTGGTGGTTAGTGCGCATCATAGCTACCAGACAGTCAGCTAGTCAGCTGGTCGCTTAGACTTTTATATATATAGATAAGCAGCTGGGGATGGATGGTGGATGTGTTGGTCCAGCCTCAGGGTAGTAGGTAGGTTTCCTGGGGCTGCCAACCTTGCCTGTTTGGTAAAGGCTGCCTGGGGTGAGGTGTTGTAAGAGCCGGACTAAGCCTGGTGGGAATGTGAAGATTTCATGATTGTTGAGTGATGTTTTCCAAGGAGAGGAGTGGCAGTTCGTGGCTCATTGGGAGGGGCATCATTTTTGCGCTCCCTCCTATAGGGATTGCCCTGCTTTCTAACCCATCCTCACATGCTGAATGGTCAGGAAGCAGAGCCTGAGATGTGGGTTTGTGTGCAGGAAGCACATAGGGGAGTGCACAGGGGACCAGCACCTGTGGAAGTAAAAGTAGCAGGGGGACTTGGGCTGCAATGCAGTCAGAGCACAGCCTCAGCCAGCTCCATAGGGAGCAGCGGGGAGGGACCTGCAGAGCCGTCCTGAACTGAGGCCAGAGAGCCAGGCACTGGCCAATCACTGAATGCTGGACGTGACCTTGCCTGAGACACTTTCTGATGACAAGTCCTGGATGGGGAGAGTGCTGGGCTTGTGAGCTGCTCTCTTCCTCCCCTCTAGCTGTTGGGTAATCAGCTTGCCTGTCTTGGCTTGGGGTCAGGCTGTGCAGTGCAGGCCCATATGCCTAGAGTGGGGAGCGAGGGAGGGGTTGGTAGGGGAGTGGCAAGGCCCCAGCACAGGAGCCCAAAGAGGCTCCGTGACCCCCACCTTTACCTGAGTGCTCAGGTGCTCTACTGTCAGGTGAGACTTTGGAGCAGGTGGGTTCTGACTTCCTGGTGCTGAGATGCTCATGTCCCAGGATCCCAAGTTTGCTCCATTGGCCCCCAGGCAGCTGCATTGGCTCCCAGCCCCCAACCTCTTTATTCCTGGACATGGACAGTCTCTTGGCCCTGTCTCTGTCTGGAAGTTCTGGGTTCCCAAGGGAGACTCTCATCTCTCCCTTGTTTTTGGGATGAGCTCTGCTCTGCCACCAGCTTGGCCAGATTCTCCTCTGCCTCTTCTCGCAGTGCCAGTCCCTCCACTCCTCTCTTCTCATCCTGCTCATGCCAGGCTCTTCTTGGACATGCCAGGCGTTTGGTCAGAAAGGAGTCTCAGCTAGCCCCATCCAGCCCGCAGGTTCTTTGTTGCTCTCAGCATCTCTCTGGGAAGCTCTTGGTGCTGAGCTGGGAGAACTGGGCAGTCGTGAAGCATCTTACAGGTAAAGGTCTCTGATGTTAGGAAGGCCGTTAGATCAGAAAGTGAGAGGTGGGGACACTGGGTGGCCAGGAGTCCCACTTGGTCAACTCCAGTGACAGCTGCTGAGTGTAACGAACATGCTGCTTCCTTCGAGATGGTCTGGCAGAGGCCGAGTTGACAGTGTTGAGGAACTGGGTCATTTTCTGCCCTCAACCTGGGCAGGCTGCCTTCCTTGGCCATGCACAGCCCCTGATCAATCTGACGTTTCTAGAACACAGAAAGTTTTCTCTGACCACACCAGTACCTCCTCCCTGTGTCCCCCTCACTCTGTGGAAGGAGCCGCATGGGACTGGATCTCATGTCCTGAGTCAGCTCTCTCCACCATTCATGCTGGTGGTCACAACAGACCTGAAGGCACGCACTCATGAGGATCTCTGTAGTGTGGTCAAATGATGGTGTGCTTTGGGCTTTGATTTAGACCCAGGCTCTGCTGCTTGAGCTTGAGTGGTGACACCGCCCCCCCCCCCCACACACACACACACACACACACACACACACACACACACACACACACACACACTGCCTGTCCTGAATCCTGGGGGTTGGTAACGCACACTGTGTAGGGGTCGAATGTAGTGCCAGGTTAGGTAACATTAGGTAACATTGCTTCAATGCCACCCAGAGCAGCCTGGCACATAGTAAATGCTCAAATAAGATTGTGTCCTCCCCGCTTCCCCTCTCTGACCTTCAGTGACCTTTATTTTTGTGGGTTTTGTGTGTGTGTGTGTGTGTGTGTGTGTGTGTGTTTTATCTTTTAAAGTTTTTATTTGATCATTGTCCCCCCCCCATGCAATGTTGGGGTCTCCTCAGCACTTTTACAGAAAACGAATTTGGTTCTATTAGGGAGGAGGGAGGACATTGCTAGCAATTGCCGCATGGTAGTATATTTTCTTAAAATATACTTTTTATTGTTGATAGTATTATAGATATTTCCCCCTTTTCCCCCTTTACCCCATCCTCTGAGCCCCTACATTCCCTCATGTCCTCACCTGCCCCATTGCCCCTGTCTATGGGCTATGCTAAGAAGCACACAAGTTCTTTGGTTTAATCTCTTCTTGTCACCTCAACCCCACATCAAGGTATGCCAGTCTGTTCCATGCCTCCATGCTTCAGGTCTTATTTTATTGGCCAATTCATTCTGCTCATTAGAGTCCACAAATAAGTGACATGTTATAGTAGAGATCCAGTGCATGAAATTTGTGTACTGGGGGAGGGGGGGGGGATCCTTCAGCTCAGCCTGCGCCCTCTTGCAATTCCCGCGTTTGATTGTCCCACAGAGGGAGGCCCCGCCCACCACTGCCGAGGGGTTAGCCTGGGCCTCCCTCTTTGGGGCAGTCACAGAGCTCCCCAGCCAGCGGCCTGGGCTCCTTCTGTGGGGTGATGGTGGGGCCCACTGACCAATTGCATCACACTCGCCTTGGCGGTGGCAGTCAGTGTTGGGTTGCCACGGCACCTGGACCCAGGAGGAACTGAGAGGTCAGCAGTTGCTCACCAGTCCCTGCCCACTTGAGCCTGCTGCGTGTGCAGCCTGGTATTCAGTCATCCATTCAGTCATTTTGGACGTTACGAACCCTGGCTCTTTATATATTAGGATTTGTCTTTCTCAGATTGGCTTATTTCACTTAGCATAATGTTTTCCAGGTCCATTCATGCTGTTTCAAAGGGCAAGAGATCCCTCTTTTTTAGAGCTGCATAGTATTCCATTGTGTAAATGTCCCACAGCTTTTTTATCCATTCACCTGCTGATGGGCACTTGGGCTGTTTTTAAATCTTAGCTATAGTAAATAACACTGCTATGAACATAGGGTGCATACATTCTTTATGATTGGGGTTTTTAGGATATATTCCCAGAATTGGGATCACTGGGTCAAATAGAAGTTCCATTTTAATTTTTTGAGGAAACTCCATGCTGCTTTCCATAGAGGCTGCACCAATTCTGCATTCCCACCAGCAGTGAACTAGTGTTCCTTTTTTTCTCCATCCTCGCCGGCATTTGTTGATTTTTTGAAGCTAGCCATTGTGATAAGTGTGAGGTGATATTTCATTGTGCTTTTAATTTGCATTTCTCTGATGATTAATGACTTTGAGCATTTTTTCACGTGTCTCTTGGCCATGTATATATCCTCTTTGGAGAAATGTCTATTCAGGTCTTTTGCCCATTTTTAGATTGGATTGTTTGTCTTCCTTTTGTCTAGTTGTATGAGTACTTTACATTTTTGGATATTAACTCCTTATCAGGCATGTCTTTGGCAAATATATTTTTCCATACAGTGGGTTCCCTTTTCATTTTGATTGTGGTTTATTTTGCTGTGCAGAAGCTTTTTAATTTTATGTATCCCATTTATTTATTTTCTCCTTAGATTCCCTTGCCCTAGAAGATGTATCCATAAACATATTGCTATGTGAGAAGTCTTGAGATTTTACTGCCAATGCTCTTCTCTAAGATTTTTATAGATTCATGCCTTACATTTAAGACTTTTATCCATATTGAGTTTATTCTCGTGTATGGTGTAAGTTGGTGGTCTAGTTTCATCTTTTTGCATGTGTCTGTCCAGTTTTTCCAACACCAGTTGTTGAAGAGACTGTCTTTACTCCATTGTATGTTCTTGCCTCTTTTGTCAAATATTAATTTACTGTAATGGTGTGGGTCAATTTCTGGGGTCTCTGTTCTGATCCATTGGTCTATATGCCTGTTCTCCTGCCAGTACCAGGCTGTTTTGGTTATAATGGCTTTGTAGTAGAGTTTGATAGTGACCTCTCTTTAGTTTGAACCTTTGTGACATTTCATATCAGCAGAGGTTATCTGGTCATCTAACATCATGTTCTGCTCACACTGTGTATCTCCTACATGGCCATGTTCCTGGCCACTCCTGATGGGTAGAAATAAGCCTTGTCTCTGAAGTGTCACCCTAACCTCAAATTCATGTCTCTCGTGCTCAGTTGACAGCTCTTGGCAGGGTCTTCTCATGGAGGACTACCTAAAGTGGTAGCTGATGGGAATAGCCAAACCCTCCACTATTGAAACCCCTCAAGACTGATGGAGCTGGGTTTCTCTCTTTTGCAGCATCAGCCTCCGAGAGTTGAAGGCCATCTTGCCCCTGGTCAACTTCAAAGTGAGCAGTGTCAAGTTCCTCAAGGATAAGTTTGCGGTAAGTTTCATGGCTTAGTAGTCTGATAATTTTGTGACTCATAGCTACTTGTGCCTCTCACATGAAGCCACTACGGGCCCGTGAGCTCTGTGGAATGGTGCCCAAGAAATCCTTCACCTCAGATTCTGTCTTATTACAGACAAAGGAATCATGGGAAGGTCTTGGGGCCATGTTCTCAATTCTAGCAGAGGACATCACTATGAAAACTGTGCTTACACAGAGACTTGACTTGAACACATTCACCAGCCCAACTTTCCTTTCCCTCCCCATCCTGCAGCCCATTTCCTTTCTAGTGATATGAACAAATGTGTTTGTTTTGGAAAATATTTTGAAAGATATCTCAGGTAGGTTGCCAGAGATGTAGAATTTTGTATGCAAGTCTTGATAGTGTAGTTGTCAGAGTTGGTTCTTCTGTCCTTCCCTTCACTTCCCACCTATCATTCTTCCCATCTACCTTTCCCCTATGAACCTTTCCTCCCACCCACCCTGCCATCCACCCATTCCCCCTTCCACTCATTTAATTTCTTTATGTTCTTGTGTGACTAAGCTATTGGTAAATTTGGGGCAGGTAAAGAAATTCCAGGAATGATCGGGTAGAAGAGGTGAGATTTTTATAGATTAATGCCTTACATTTAAGACTTATCCATCTTGAGTTTATTCTCATATATGGTGTAAGTTGGTGGTCTAGTTTCATCTTTTTGCATGGGGTTTTTCCAAATGATTTAATGATGGAGATGATGTAGAGGCACCTTTTCTGGCCCCTACCAACTTGTCAAGGAGCCCAACCACACTCACCCCAGTATCCTCAGTTAGAGGACTCACATGGCCAAGGTAGCCCCAGTCACAGGATTCCTCAGCCAAAGAAGCTCATTCGTTTTTGTACCAGTGACCTCCTAGAATAGTTAACCCACTTTATGGTTATCAAGCCACCTTTTGATTCCCCCCAAACAATCTAATTAATTAAAAAAGATGAAAATAGAGAAGGGTGGGAATTGAAAGAAGAGAAGAGAGTGAGAAGCATTTACCATTGATTACTACTTAATTGGAATTTTGTTCTCTACCAAGCCTTCACTTGGTGTTATCTAGTTTGGTTTCAGGGAAGTTTGAGGGGGGTGATGTTGGTTCTCCCATTTTACAGATGAAGAAACTGAGGGTCTGAAAGGGTCACGTAAATTCCCCAATGCCATTAAGCAAATCAGGGGATAAGCCTTGCCTGGAGTTGAAATCCATATAATCTAAAAGCTTGGTTAGTTTTCTTACTTACGCTTTGAAAAACTGACTTGTACCAATCTACCCTATAAATATGTCTAGATTTAATGATGTCTTTGATGCCCCCAAAATGAGAAGTTCTCATTGTGGCTCGTGGAATTCTGGTCGAGACTCTTCCCTTTTTGGGATCACCGAAAGGATTTTACCTGGTGGGGTCCCTGGTGGGTATGCTCTTCCGACGGGTAAACAGGAAGGTTGTGGATAGTTTCGGTTCAGAGGAATGTGGGTTGATCTTAGCAAACTTTGTAGAAAGGCATCCTATTACTGTAATCAGGAGGCATTCTCGTGGTCAACACCAACACTTGTGTGGTCATTTTTATTTTTTTATTTACAGGAAATAGGTGCCCACAAAGATGAATTCAGCTTTGAACAGTTCCATCTCCTCTATAAAAAACTTATGTTTGAGCAGCAAAAATCGGTAAGGTGATTCTTGAGCAGATGATCGAATGATATTTTTGTTTCCCCGTGTTTCAAAGTCCAGCACATTCCTAGGTCACAGTGGTCAGCAAACTCATTAGTCAACAGAGCCAAACATCAACAGTACAATGATTGAAATTTCTTTTGAGAGCCAAATTTTTAGAAGTAACACCACTTCTTCAAAATAGACTCACCCAGGCCATGTTATTTTGTGGAAGAGCCACCCTCAAGGGGCCAAAGAGCCACATGTGGCCCTCGAGCCACAGTTTGCCGACCACAGTCCTAGGAAAACCAGAGACGTCTTCTTCCTAGTCACAGAAATGGAAAGTGGGGATGACGGTGGCATACCATCTTCACCTGCTAGGCTGGCAAATGTTTTTGAAGGTGATAGTTCTTAGGGGAAAGTATGGGGAATTGGTTCGCATATCTTCTTGGAGGGAATATGAGTGGCTGTACCTCTGAATGGAATTCAATCTGAATCTATTAAAGTAAAACAGTTCACCAACTCTAACTGTATTATCTCATTTGGGAGGAAATTTATCAAATTTTTAATAGTAACTGTCCCTGGGTTGAGGAACTATGTGTGTGTGTGTGTCTTCATTTTATACTTTTATGAGAATATATTTTTAAGATAACATGCTATTTTCAAATTAAGTTAAAATTAAAGGTGAAGATAGGATGCTATTTTAAATTTAAAATATATTTTGGTTTGACAATGGCATTTTGGAGACTCTGTCTTAGAGAAATGAAAGCACCGGGACCTAGGAATGTGTCACCAGATTGTTTACCGTAGCATTACTTACTCAGGCAAAATACCTGGCACCATCTGGGTGCCTCTCAGTAGAGGACCAGCTGGTAAATCATGGCCCAGCCATTCTCAGCAGCATCATGCAGCTGGTGAAGACTTCCGAGTCAGCTGTGTTTCTGGATGTTCATGAAATTTTGTGAGAAAAGCCAGCAGCAGATACATGTTAAGAGTTGGGTCTATTTTTTGGTAAAAAGCAAAACAGAATACAGTAACCCTCCTATATATCATCTCTGTGTGTTTTTATGAACAAGGAGGAAGTATGGAAGAAGACACACCTCCCATTTAATGTTGATTAAGTGTATGTTCTGGAGGAGTTTGGAAAGACGGGTAGGAGAGAGAATTGCATTTTTCTTTGTACACCTCAGTTTTCTTTGACTTGCTCCAAGTTGGTGTGTTACTTTTGCAATAAAAAAAAAAGTCCCCAAAAGTCTAAAGCTTAAAAGGTGGGCATTCGGCGCAATGCGCAGGACCCAGTGCTGGGTGGGTGGCATGCATGCCACTAACAGGAGCCGCTGCTGTTATTGTTGGCAAAGGGCTTTACAGGTGGCAACGGTGGGTTCAAAGCAGCGCTGAGAGGGAGCAGAGAGTAGGTGGGAGTTGGAGCCAGTGGATTATCTGGCTGTGTGATCGTGGGCCAGCCACTGACCACTCCCAGCCTCAGTCTTCTCACCTGTGTAATGGGGGTGGTGATCCCTGCACCACAGGGCTCTGAGGAAGACTAAATGAGGGGTTGGGTGTTGAGTGCAATCATTTTTAAGTGATGCGTGTGAAAGTCGTTAGAAGACAGTTTTAAATATATATATATATATATATATATATATATATATATATATATATATTCAGAACAGAAGGGAGAGGGAGAGAGAAAGAGATAGAAACATCTCCGATGAGAGAGAATCATTGATTGGCTGCCTCCCACATGCATTCCCCTGGGGATGGAGCCCACAACCCAGACAGGTGCCCTTGACTGGAATTGAACCCAGGACCCTTCAGTCCACAGGCCAATTCTCTATCCACGGAGCAAAACCAGCTAGAGCTAGGATATAGTTTTAATTCCCTTTTACATGCAGGCTGGCAGGCCAGCCACAGGGTGAGGCCCCTTGATAGGTGACCAATGGCCATGAGATTTTGGATGTCTCCAAGGTAGAGAAATGGGAGAGGCATTTCCTGTGTGTCTAGATTGGGCAGAAATACATTATTTTATAGAGAAAAACCTCCAGTCACTGTGTTTATCTGCCCCTCCCCCCTATATATATAAGGATTGGTTCTTGTTTTGCCAAAGAGTAGAAAGACTATAGGTATTGGGAGTTGAAAGACCCCGATTCCAGTCCCAACCTGACCTCTAACTGATCAAGTGATTTGTGGGAAAGCCATGTTTGTCCTCCTCACTCAAGCATCTTCTATAAAATGAAGGTATTAAGTCAGGTTACTGGTTATAAGACTTTTTAAAACTACCTATATACTTCTCCTCCCCGTTTTAATACAGAACCGTAACAAAAAGAAATCTATTGCATAAAAGCTGATCCAAACACTTTTTAGGTTAACATCCGTAACCTTTATTTATAGTCAGTGCTTGAGAGCCATGAAGGTGTTTTGATGGCAGTGTACCTACGAAACCCAGAATAATGACAGCTGCTGTCTCAGGCAATCGAGGGGGGGAAGGGGAGAAGCTTGATTCATTCAAGATAAGTGATTACAAAGGACAGTTTTTATAATCAGTTGCCTTGAAATTTCAGGATGCTGTCTCATAGGACAGCTGACAGAAAAAGCTTGAGAATAAGGGTTTCAAAACAGCTTCTTCGGCTGCCAGCACAGGTTAGCCCTGGATAGTCCCCGTTGGGATAAAATTCCACACAAGAGGTATTTCAACATGCACCTTCCGATATGTTTCTTTCTCAGCTAATTAGTGTGTGTGTTTGAGAGGGAGAATGGAGAGTAAGAAGTTGGAGTCCTCAGATCGTCTGGGGGTTCCCAAGATTGCCCAGTTTTTGGGAAAATACTCCTGTACCAGAGGTTGCCTTTGGTGGCCATAGCACCATATTCAGGATGCATGCGTTCAGTTGTACTTGGCCTGATGGTTTTATATGCTTTTGAAATGAAGTGCTTACATTTAACACTTGGGAGATTTCATATGAAGCTCGATTTTTAGCTCCTCTTGAAAAAACAGTGAGATCTGGCTGTCTAAGGGTCCTGCATTCCAGTGCTGACCTCTGAGCAGAAAGGAGGCATGCATTCCCTGGTGGCCCCTGTCCTCACCCGTAGTCAGCTTTCTGCTAATCTCTGTTGCCTACTTGGCCCTGAGGACTTTTTGGGTTGGCAATGTCTGGTCTCCACCATTGGATGATATTCCTGTCCAGTGTGGCCACTGCACCTATTAATTCAGTGACTTGGAGTTTGAATAACGAAGCCCCAAGCTCCCTCGGTAGTTGCTGGCTGACTTGGGAAACTGCAGTGCATTTGTGCATATAGTTTACTTCCTGAGCTCTCCCTGGGAGCAGAGCAAAGTGTTAGTTGTGTTCTTAGGGACTCAGCTGGGTTTCTTGGGCTCCCTGGGGAGACGGTTTCCAACTTGAGGTTGTCAGTTCTTCTTTGTATCTTCCCACCTGCTCCAGAGCTCCCACAAGTTTGACAGCAGCAGGAAGATAAGACTTGTAATTCTATGTGCGTCCCCCTGGTGAGGGGCTATCCTCTAACCTGGCTATCATAACAGAAGTATGAACACAGATCATAGCTAACATTTTCTAAGTGTGACCTCTATGCTGGGTGCTGTGCTAAGTGTTTTACATACGTTTAATTCTTCTCACAACCCCGTGAGAGAGATAACTGTGATCCCATTTTACAGATGAACAAACTGAGGGTCAGACAGGTTACTTGCTGGAGGCCGTACAATTAGTAAGCTTGACCTGCTGACTGTCCTTGTTTTGTGTGTGTTTTCCATTTCAGATTCTTGACGAGTTCAAAAAGGATTCCTCCGTGTTCATCCTGGGGTGAGGCACCTCTTCTGGGTGATGGTTGTTCAGGGTGGCTGATCTTGTTATTGGTGCCCTTGGGGGTCCTCCCAGTCCACCTCGCGGCTCTGGGGGGTTGCCTCTGTGGGTGGGCACTGGGGGCGGGGGTCCCTCTATCCAGGGATTGGCCATGCTGACCCTGTGGCATGGATACACAGGAACAGAAGCAACAGAGTTCATGTAGCGTTGGGCGGGGGGAAGTGGAGGGGATAGGGAGGGTGGCCCGAAGGTTCTGTAGAGAAGCCTGAATGCATTAGGACCTCCTTTCTTGGGGTGTGCTTCATAGAACATGACTGGTAGAGAGCTTGTTTTTTTTTTTTTTTTTTTTTTTTTAATACAAATTAAAACATTGTTAGTGCCAAGCGAGTTTGGGAAATCCCTAGGTCAGCAGGTTTAACTGAATTAAGGAGTGGAAGGCATGTAAAGTGCTTCACATGGGAGGTGGCAAGAACCTGTAAATGGTGGTAATGATATTATGAAAAAGTAAGTGCTGCAGGACTTGTCAGGACCTTTAGTGTGCTACCAGTTCCCTAAGTTGGGGATTTATAAAGTGTTCTGTGCTCCCCACGCCCGTGTGCTTGGGGGAGAGAGGTTTTCCACACGGCGTGAACAGCACCTAGAACATGGTGAGGACCTGCTTGTTGGGACCACCCTCACTGATGCCGACCCTCTGGCACCAGTCCCCTCTGTCACTTTCTAAACCGGAAACCCCAAGACTCCAGATGCATAAAAAACCAACCCTGATGTTTATGTAGTGCTTTAATGAAAAGATGAGTGAATTGATGAGAAGCTATAAAGCAAACCAAAAGGCTCGCTGGCAAAGAAGAGTAGAAATGCACTTGTAATGAAAGACAATAGACTTTTGGACCCTGACTGCTTAGTAAAGGGAGAAACCTAAAGCATGCTTCTATATTTTGAAAAGTCCACACCCCCACTGCACTGGCAAGTGCTCAGGGACGAGTAGGAACCTCCCCTGGCAGCTGTTGTGCAGAACGCACTTCTGTAGGCACCAGCCTGCCTGTGCCAGTCGGGAGGCCCAGCATTTTGTAGCCATGAGCATCCTCTCCCCACGGCCATTGGTCATCAAGCTGCTGGCCGAGGGGGAGTCCCCTTTGTTCAGGGGGAAGGGTTCCCTCATCCCAAATGGAAAATTCTCCCAACGGCGGGCCTCTGCTTGCTCCACGACCAGGCCCTGCATGTTCCCGCTGACTCTCCCCGCCCGCCCAGAGTCTGGGGGGCTTCATCCGGCCCCCAGTCCTGCCTCAGAGCCCCTGGCTCAGCACTCTCTGCTTTGTGGCTTCTAAGGAGATGCTTTGATGCAGCCCCAGCTCCCCTTAAAATGTGTTCACGCCCAGCCTGCCCATGTATTTGTGGGCACACGCATGTCAGTGCTCTCCTTTCCTCCTCCCTACCTCCACCTCGGAGCAGCTAAAGGCAGGTTCCAGAGCCCACCCTCCAAGGTTTCCACATTCTCTCTGAACTGTGAGAGGTCAGGAATGTCATCTAGGTCCTCTCTGCCTTCCCGTCGACAAGCCTGGCCCTGGCACAGAGGAGGGTCTTGCCAGGGTGTCTGGGTGGCAGGCAGCCTGCCGGCAGGAATGGCCTCTTGACTGTTGACGGGTGTCCCACTCTAAACACCGTCTCTTTCCCCGAGGGCAGCAGTACCGACCGGCCGGATGCCTCGGCGGTCCACCTGCACGACTTCCAGCGGTTTCTCTTACATGAACAGCAGGTGAGAGAGCAGAATGGCGGGAGGGGGGCCGGGAGGAGCTTCCTGGCTGGCTTCTCACCGTCTCACCACCTGCCGCGTGCCTTCCTCTGGCCACGGGGAGTCGTGAACCGCTGTCGTCTCCCTGCCCGGTGCCTCTTCCCTGTCCTACCCTCTGGAATGAGGACAGCCTCATAATCAGCTCCTTTTCAAGGTGCAAATCGAGAATGAACAAGAGTGAGGATGTTTCTCGGCAGGCAGGCTGATGGCCTCCAGGCAGCTGTACCTCACCTGGCTGGCTCCTGCGCCTGGCTCGGCTTAGTGTCCCTTCCTCAGGAAGCCTTTTCTGACTGATGGAGGCTGTGACTAGGGTTTATGTATATCACATATATTTGTGACAAAAGGCTTTTCTGAAAGAAAGGGTTTATTGAGCCAAACGCCGGCCAGAAAAGGGCCAGGGCGCCGGGCACACAGCCTGTGCAGCCGGCAGCAGGGCTGGGGGGGAGACGTGCTCGCTGTCCTGGAGCTGAGGGACTCATCTAGGAAAGCAGTGCAGGAAGAAAGGTGTGTTTTGCTTAGGAAGAAGGCACATGGGCTGTAGGTAAAGGGGAGGGAGGAGGCACATGGGCTGTAGCTAAAGGGGAGGGAGAAGGCACATGGGCTGTAGGTAAAGGGGAGGGAGAAGGCACATGGGCTGTAGGTAAAGGGGGAGGGAGGAGGCACATGAGCTGTAGGTAAAGGGGTGGGAGAAGGCACATGGGCTGTAGGTAAAGGGGGAGGGAGGAGGCACATGGGCTGTAAGTAAAGGGGAGGGAGGAGGCACATGGGCTGTAGGTAAAGGGGGAGGGAGGAGGCACATGGGCTGTAGCTAAAGGGGTGGGAGAAGGTGAAGCGAGCTGGTTCAGGGAGGGCAGAGTCTGAAAGGAGGAAGTGTGTGCACATTGGAGTGGTGGAGGGGAGCAGTCAGAAAGTTCTCTTGTAAATGAGAGGTAGAGGCGCTGGTGGTCGGTGGTGCCTGCTGCCCCCTTTAGGTCCTTGTGGGAATGGCCACCTGGAAGTTGGTTCAGGGTTTCAATACGCACGCAGGATGGCACAGTCTTTTGTTGGGTTTGCCCTGCATTTAACAGATTAACAGATGTCCCTTCCTTCCATCCTCCAGTCGGCTGTCATTTAATTTAGGACAGCTCAGAATTTTCTCTTTGTCGGCAGGTACATGGTTAACCTCCTGGGACAAGTGCCCTTACATCCCAGAATTCACCCCCCAGTGCTGCCTAATTTCATTACAGGGGAGAATGACAAGCTCTCCCCATCCTCAATCCCTCCCGCCCCCACTCCCGCCCCCCCCAACCCCTTCGCTGTGCTGTCCTCGGAGATCAGGGATAGAGACTGGAGCTCTTCACCTGCAAGACAGCCCCTGAGCATCTGTGTACGTGTGATAGAAAGGCCAGGCATGATGACAGACATGGGGACCCTGAGCCGTCAGTCTGGCTGACCCTTCAGGTCCCATGTGCCGGCGCTCCGTGGAGTGACGGCGTGAAGCAGAGCCAATCACTGAGGACACCTGTTTGGTGTGATGGTTGCTCATATATGGAATGGTCACTGCAGCATTTGGTGTGCAAATTAGTACAAGGTTTCTAGAAAGTACTTTAGCAATATGCAATTAAATTGAAAACTTTGAAAAAAGGTTAATATACTTGGATTAAAGAATTTCCCTCCTAGGAACTTACCCTAAAGCAACAACAGCAACATTTTCAATAGAGATGAAAACATGGAACTAATCTAAATTTCCATGAAGGGACTGGTTAGCTATGCCTCAGTCCAGCTGTGAGAGGGGTAGGTGAATGGGAAAAAAGGGGGTGAAGAGGAAGACCCCAAAACTGATGTGCCTGAGTTGGTCTCAAGCTCAACGTTGGGTCAAGTTCTTTAAGGACGCGACATCTCTGTTTTTTCATTTATAGAATGAGGAGAATAATAAGTATCTCCTGGGATTGATGAGAGGAGGAAGCTTTGCAGAAGGAAGGAGGAAGCTTCTGGCCTGGTGGGAGGAGGTGGAGACATCGAGGCCTGATATGGCCTTTGCATAAAGTATCCTACAATTTGAGTCTCATGTTTTCGTATTCAAAGATGTTAACGCTTCTGTAGTCAAATGAACTGGCTGCTCCCAGGCTCCCAGCTGTTTGGTGTCCCTTATCCAAGTAGATTTGCAAGAATCAACAGCAAGGCTCATTGTTGACGGGCACCCACATGCCAGGGGGGCCATTTCTCCGCCACTTCATTTGTGTCTGTCCTTCAGCTCTTCTGTCTTTCAGACATCCTGGTCCGACCCTCCTCACCCAACCACATACACAGCACATTTGCTTTTATTATTCTTATTGATAGAGGCTTTAGGATACTCGTTACCCTGAAAGCATTAGTCAAAGTTGAGTGTGTGGGTCCTGTTTCCTCCTTGTGCCTGATGAATAAATACTTGGGGTGAAGAAGATGGGCGTTAGGGTTTGGAGAGGAAAACAATAAAGTTACTTAATAGTTTGCATCCTCACGGGAACTCTGTGCAAGGGTATTATCACTCCATGTAATGGATGCAGAGGAGCCCACAGAGTACATGACCTCCTGGGGTCAGCCAGGCGAGGCACCTGCATGGCCTGATATGGCTCCTTTTGGTGATTTCTTATTTTCTTTGTCATTCTAAGGAACTTTGGGCTCAGGATGTGAACAAAGTCCGTGAGAGGATGACAAAGTTTATCGACGACACGATGAGGGAAACGGCGGAGCCCTTCTTGTTTGTGGATGAGGTGAGGGGGCTCCTTGTGATCAGTTCCCCAGGGGCTGGTTCTCTTCAGTCTTTCCCTTTTACTCCTTATCTGTTTTGCCACTAGAGGGCGTCTAGTACCCGGGAGCGCATTGTAAACATCCCAAATCCAAAGGTTTTGGAGGTTCCTGAACTGTTGAAATGGTTGCACTTGGCCCTGAGTGAGGCAGGCAGCAGGGGAGGTAAAACTGAGGGAAAACTGGGAACTCCTGTTACCTGTAAGGTTGTTACCCAGAGTCACTCAGTCTTCCGATTTTTTTAAAAAAAGAGTCAAGCATTGGCATATGACATTTCCTGCCTTTTAGATGTTATGATACAATGTTAATTTTTTTTTTTTTTATCATCAAGTTGGTGGGTTCACAGATGTTTATGGTACTTTTATGCCTTAAACGTACCGTATATAGGAAGCATATATTCTTGTAGCAACAAATATTTTAGGGTGCACGTTAATAAGGAAAACACTGTAAGTCAGTGGCACCTGCGTCAGTACAGCCTGTGGCTCTCTGAGTCCCTGCGTGGAAACATGGGTCAGACGGCCTGGAGACTCTCTGTGCAGCTCATGTGTCAGAACTACCATTTCCCCATGCGGGTCAGACCAGAAAGAACCCGCTACCACCCTCCTTATTTTCCATCATGGTGATCCGGTCTTTGTGTTTGTGGTACCTAGTTCCTCACGTACCTGTTTTCACGGGAGAACAGCATTTGGGATGAGAAGTATGACGTGGTGGACATGCAGGACATGAACAACCCCTTGTCTCATTACTGGATCTCCTCGTCACATAACACGTGAGTTCTGCCACCAGCCTGGGACGGGGTGCCCAGGGCACTGCTTTGGCAAAGCGTGCAGGTGGAGTCAGGGACACGCTGCTCAGACCAGAATAAACAAACGCTTTGGGAACGGGTGTGGGAGTGCTCCGCTCTTTCCCAGTTGGCACTGCAAGGATCATTCTTTTTCAGTGGCCCCTAAGGAGCCAGTCAGCAAAGCTGGATTTTACAGTTTGGGTATCTCCTGGTAGCCACAGCAAAGGAACTGAATTAGCCATTGAACTGCTATGTACTGTCTGCCCTGTGCTTGCTGGGTCCTGGTGATATAGCAGGGAGCAGGGTAGGACAGAGCAACACTGCTATCACGTGCTTGGAGGGGAAAAGACCTCCTTTGAATCTTAACAAAGTTGGTGAGAGAATGGGTGGTGAGGAGAGGAAGATGGTGTTAGACTGAGGAGTAGCGTGTGCAGAGGTCCAGGGGCAGGAGGAGGGACCGAGAGGGGTCTGTCACAGGTTGAGTGACATCTCTTAAGTGACAGCAGCGGGTGGGGACAGTGGGAACCACTGGTGGCTTTTAAGCCAGAGAGCAACATGCTCAAATTTACATCTTTGGAAGATTGCCTTGATTGCTAAAAAAGAAAATAGACTGAAAGAGAAAAAAGATGTTTCACTCAAGTTTCAATATTTAGTCTGCCTTATAAGGTAGGAGGGTGAAGGCCGTGGCCCTTGGGCACCCAAAGAGCTGTGGATTTGGGGTTTCCCAAGTGTCCTTCCAAGCAGGAGTTGGTAAGAAAGCCCTTATGCTTATTTCCAGGCACTTGGGGAGGTCAAGTCTGGCTCAGGGTCAGATTGATTTAACGGTTCTTGCTTCCCCACCATGTCCATTGATTTAAGAGTTGTGTCTTAGAATGATGAATTCTACCAAACCCACGAGACATGGTGAGGAGGAAAGTGCCTAAAAATATGTATTTTTATGTCTGGTGGACCTAGTTCATAGCATAGTGAATTCCACTTATAGTGGTTGGTCACCATGCCTGGCTTCCTGATATCACAGTGCTGGCCCATCTCCGCCCCCTGTAGATGGAGGGCCAGTGGGCAGCCAAGAAAGGTTTGTTAATTTATCAGCCACCGTTAATCTCACTCCCGGCACCCTCTGACCCAGTTCTCAAAAGGACACACGGTCCTGACCCCACCCTTGGATCACCAAGGTGGTTGTTGTTCATGTCTTGTGATCGTTGCCTGAGTCTAAGGCGTGGCCACACAATGGCAAGGGTCTGGCCCGGGTCCTAACAGTGGGTCTTTCTAGCCAGGAAGAACTCAGGCCTTTGGGAGCTTGGGCTGAGAAGTTCCCCAAGGACACCCTGAGGTGCAGGCCCGCCTCCTCTCCTTCAGGTATCTCACAGGTGACCAGCTGCGGAGTGAGTCGTCCCCGGAGGCGTATATCCGCTGCCTGCGCATGGGCTGTCGCTGCATTGAGTGTGAGTAGCCTTTTCCTGGCAGAGCTAACACCTACGGAGGAGTGAAGCCAATTGTCACTGCCAAGCCCTCAGCTCATGGTTGGCGCCCCCTGCAGGCCAAGAGCCCAAGTCGCTCTCTGGGTCCGGAGCCTGAAGGAGGCTGGTGCTGGGGAACCACGTGGCTGTTTAGTGATTTCTGCTCCCTCTTGCTGAGCCCTCCTGCCCCTCAGCTGGCTCAGCCATGGGTGGCATCCTGACCGTTCTTGTCACCCAATACAGGTGACTCCAAGCACCTGTACACACCCAGGACCCAGCTGCTTCCTCCCTTATCCTCACCTCTTACTCCTGGCCTGGCCTGACCACCAGAGACTCATAGGTGTATTAGGATGAGAAAAGACACAAACCACTGATTTAGGCTCCGATTTTATTTTAAATAAATTCATCATAGTAGGAAACTCCATCGGCAGTTATTTCTACAGCATATTGCCTAGTTTATACTTCTCCCAGCCCCCTCAGGAAAGAGCAAATGTGAAAAAAATTAAGTTTGAAACTGTCAGCTCCTGTTACCTCTAGGGCAGTGATCAGCAAACTCATTAGTCAACAGAGCCAAATATCAACAGGACAACGATTGAAATTTCTTTTGAGAGCCAAAAACCGACTTCTGCACATGGGCCACGAAGTTTCAATCGCACTGTACATGTGCACCCGCACGTGGTATTTTGTGGAAGAGCCACACTCAAGGGGCCAAAGAGCCACATGTGGCCTGTGAGCCACAGTTTGCTGACCACTGCTCTAGGGGATGAAGAGATAGAGATGTTCACCTTCTACATAATCTAGTCCTGTCTGAATATTTTATTACGAACCTTTAAGGATAAATTTTCACATTGCTGCATATTAATATCTCCACTAGCAGAGAGAGCAAGCCACGGCTTAGACAAGTAAAATCTAAAAATAAAACACAATGTAAATAACTTTTTCGAAGAGAAACATGTAAAATAGTTTCTTTTGGACAAATGTATTGCGTTACAAAAGGACCTTTCATTAAACAACCAAAATCTTCCTCTAACCGCAGAGGTAGCACGTGTGCCCAGGTAGCCCCGTCCTGATGCTGGTGGCCCCTGAGTGTGATCATTAGGTTTGACCCCCAGGTTCTAGGACCTGAGCTGGTGTGGGGGTCAGGGCCGAGTTCGTGGCTGGCTGGGCGCATGTCCACCATCAAGTGCGCTCATGAGGTCGAGAGTGATGGGCAGAGGGTGAGGCTGCCTGTTTCTCCTCACAGTGGACTGCTGGGACGGGCCCGACGGGAAGCCCATCATCTACCACGGCTGGACCCGGACCACCAAGATCAAGTTCGATGACGTTGTGCAGGCCATCAAAGACCACGCCTTTGTCACCTCAAGGTCAGTTTGTTCACGTTGAAGGGAAAGGAAGCAAAGGCTGAGCAGACAGAGATGCCTCCCTCACCCACACACAGACACACACACAGAGATACAAACACACCAGCCTAGGCTCCATCCTGTGCGAAGGCACTACCAACTCCTCAGCTCAGTGAGGGCGCCCCCTACAGGCCAAGAGCACAAGTCACTCCCTGGTTCCAGAACCTGGTGCTGGGAACCCATGTGGCTGTTCAGTGACCTCTGCTCTCTCTGCCTGGCCCTACCTGCCCTCTGCACGGTTAGGGTCCCCAGCAGATCTGCCAGGCGGGCACAGGCCAGGGGCCTGCCCCCTTGCTGGGCTCACCGGCCCCTCCTGCCGCCCGCAGCTTCCCCGTGATCCTGTCCATCGAGGAACACTGCTGCGTGGAGCAGCAGCGCTACATGGCCAGAGTATTCAAGGAGGTGTTTGGCGACCTGCTGCTGACGAAGCCCACGGAGGCCAGCGCGGACCAGCTGCCCTCGCCCAGCCAGCTGCGGGAGAAGATCATCATCAAGGTAGGCGGCCTCGGGCTGCTGTCACTCATTCAGGAGAGCCAGAGGCTCAGGGCCCAGCTCCAGATCCCACTGCCCCGGCCACATGGCTCCCCTTACTAACCAGGGACCCTCACAAGGTCATCTAGCCTCTCAGTGCCTCTATGTTCTCGCTGGTCTGGGAGGGAGTGGGGGTACTAATAGAGCCCACATGGCTGGTATGCTGTGAGCATGATGTGAAAGAATTCCTGCAAGCGCTTAGGGCTGCACCTGTGCCTTTGTGGGTGCTACCCGTACATAAATATTAACGCGGTCATTCATTCTTTTGGCAAACCTTTCCCACTCCCCTCTGAGTCATGGGGTATTCCAGGGTCCCAGGCACTGTTCTTGCCCACAGGAGCTCCCAGTCCAGTGTGGGAGATGGACTGGAGGTGCACAGTTGCCCCAAAAAGGCTGAGTGCACTAATGGGGGGCCTGCCAGGTACTGCGGGGAGATATGAGTGATTGCTATGCCCAAGAGTGCCAGGATGCAATGGGCAGGGGTGGCTTCTGGGTATTTGAATTTACTAAGATAAAGAGATCAGATACACAGTGGTTTAAAGCGTATGAGTTTATTTTTTCCTCCTCTGAGGGAGAGTGTTCTAGAAGCTTTGAGCTCTGGCCCAGAAGGTAACCCAGGGGTGCAGAGTCCTGTTCTACAGCCCCCCAGGGAAGGGGTTTTCAGCTGGGGTTCCACAGGCCTCCAGAGAACCCACAGACAGAATTCAGGACGGTCAACATGTGAATTTTGGGGGGGAAATGTTGCCTCTTCGTTTTCATTCACCTGCAGATAAAACGTAGCATCTCCTTCCATTCTGAACATTGGCCACAAGCCAGTGGGGCTTTGTCACCCGCAGAAATCATGGTTCTTTTCATGTTGCATACGGTCACTGCAGGTCTCTCAGAATAACGCTGTGCTCATCACCACTTCAGATGATGGTGGTTATTATGTCTGCCTCTAGAGTGTATGCACGTCATTAGTAAAGATAGCACATCTTTAGACCACTGCAAATATTTTTTAAAATATATTTTATTGATTTTTTTACAGAGAGGAAGGGAGAGAGAGAGAGTTAGAAACATCAATGAGAGAGAGTCGTTGATCAGTTGCCTCTTGCACACCCCCTACTGGGGATGTGCCTGCAACCAAGGTACATGCCCTTGATCGGAATCAAACCTGGGACCTTTCAGTCTGCAGGCCGATGCTCTATCCACTGAGCCAAACCGGTTTCGGCTGCAAATATTTTTTATTGAACATCCTAAGAACTACATTTCAGTACAATTGGTTTCTCTTAGAATCTCATGCATGATAAACATTCTTGTGAGATTGGGGTCCTCCGTGTTTGTCAGACATCGGTGGGCGCCTGGGGCACGTACAGCAAAGGCTCTGTCCGAAGGCGCCTTCTGGGTGTGGGTGGTCCAGCTCCAGCCCATAGGAAGGGGAACGCGAAGGGGCCCGGGGCCAGCGATTTCCCGTAGACGTGTGGATGTCAGTTGTACACGTCCTAGCCTGTCCTGTTTGGTGCGTGAGAATGTAGTCACATGATGGAGCTGGGGCTATGCAGTCTGGAGGTGGGCAGCCGTCAGTGGAAGGAACGAGATGGAGTTCATTGGCAGCTGGCGGGCTGATAAGGGAGGATGACAGGTGCTCACTAGGTAGATTTTGTCCCTGAGTCACCAAGATGCACTGGGAACAATTCTGCGTGCCAGAAGGTCACGGTCTGGTGGGGAGACTTACCCATCTACAAGTAGCACCCACAGGTCTACTTGGCGCCCACAGGTCTGAAGCACCAGGCTATTTGGAAGATTTGTCTGAGATCCGGGGCTGGTTTTCATTGAGACACAGAGGGGAGGCGGGACTAGAGGGGGCGGAGTGAAGCCAGGAGGGCCAACAGCGTCTCAGGCATACAAGTCAGTGAGTCTTCAGGGACCTCATCGCATTTCTCTGTTCCCAGGACAGCTCTCTGTCCCCAGTGATGTTCAGCTTTTGTTCTAGACCAGTGGTCGGCAAACTCATTAGTCAGTAGAGCCAAATATCAACAGTACAATGATTGAAATTTCTTTTGAGAGCCAAATTTTTTAAACTTCTTCTAACGCCACTTTTTCAAAAAAGACTAGTCCAGACTGGTCCAAAGAGCCGCATGTGGCTCGCGAGCTGCAGTTTGCCGACCACTGTCCTAGGGTATGAAGGCCCCTTTTAGAGCACCCGTTGCCTCATCTGTGGTACTTTATGGCTCACCCTTCCCATTTCAGGGGAAGGGGGTGGAAGTAGCATTCGTGACACAGTGTGTGCCACGCACCTGGGCTAGGCATGGGCGTATTTTCGTATTCTATCTCATCGTAACCCTGTGAGACTTACCCAGGCCCTCAGGCCCCACTTATAGATGTGGACACCGAGGTCTAGAGGTGAAATGACTCACTCAACTGAGGTCGCACAGTTCCTGCCAAAGAAATAATTCAGGGCTGTTCAAAATGGAACGCTTCTGTCATGCTTTGCTGTTGGCGGGCACCGTGCATGTCCCTGGGTGAGAGGATCTCGCAGGGTGTCCCTTACACCCAGCTCAGAGGGGAGGTTATTGAGACGAGAGATTGTCATGTGGCCAAGGTCACACAGCTAGGAAGCTAGGAAGGTGGCAGGCCTTGATTTCCAACCCAGTCCTGGACTCTCTTCACCAGGTCACCACAACCTGAGATTTTCAAGTGTTTGTCTAGGCGGGAGGTCAGTGTTCACACAGGGGAGCGTATTGTTGTCTCCATGTTCGTCTCACACGTAAGGATGTGAGGCTCAGAGAAGTGTGGCCACCTGCCCCGGGGCACACAGCTGATCAGGTAGCAGCAGTGCTGCTGGCACCAGGTCCTCCTCCTCTGACTCCTCAGTGTGCCTTCCGCCGCCCTGCACAGTCTGCGCCCCTGGCTGGCTATGGTCCTGCCGCCCCACTGTGCACTGGAGAGCGTCAGCATCATCGACTCACCCAGTGTTTCTCACACACTTCCCCTCTGCCGAGCCAGCACAGGAGATGCAACAAGGAACAAAACATAGTCCCAGGGAACTTGTAACCGTTTTTAATTTGGCCCATTTTAATGGTCCTCATGGGACGTAGATTCCAGCAGAGAAGACAGAAGACAAGCAGATAGTACCTAGAAACACATAGGACTGAGGGGATGAACAATAACTACCAGGGGCTAGAGAGGGAAGGGGTGGGGAGGGGAATGTGGGAGTTTTCAGATCGAGACGTCGAGGAAAGCTCCGCTGAGGAGGGGGCACCGAGCACAGAGCTGAATGGGTTGGGGAGAGGAGCCAGGCAGAGTGGACAGACAGTGCAAAGGCCCTGAGGTGTGTGTGGCCTTTGGAAAGAAACCCTGAGGTTGCAGATGGATGCTTGCTGGTCAAACACCTGCACCAGAGTCTCCAGGGAGACGGCTCTCTGTATTTTTCCCCCCTCAGCATAAGAAACTGGGCCCCCGAGGCGACGTAGATGTCAACATGGAGGACAAGAAAGATGAGCACAAGCAGCAGGGGGAGCTGTACATGTGGGATCCCATCGACCTGGTGAGCCTCTCTCACCCCTTCTCAAGCCCCGAGTGTGTCCAAGGCCTGCTGGAGGGCTCTGAGGGTATTCCTGCCTGACTCCCATTTTGACCACAATGAATTTATCATCACAATGAAACTTATCTTGTTCTTTCTTTTTTGAAATATCTTTGTATTCAATATAATTTACTGTATATTTCCACACCACACCCCTCCCCCCCCCCCCCACACACACACCATATATATAACCTTTACCCAGGTTCCCCAGATACTAACACCCCACATAATTAGAGTGTAATTTTATAACCGGGGAGTTAACATTGGCCCAACACTGCTAATTCATGAGCCTGACTTCAGCATCACCAATTTGGCCGCTAGGCCCTTTTTCTGGTCCAAGGACCAGTTCAGGCATTTCGTGGTCCTAACTCCTTAGTATCTTCCAATCTGAGACACTCCCACCCGCAACCTTTTTAAAAAAATATATTTTTATTGTCTTCAGAGAGGAAGGGAGAGAGAGAAAAAGATAGAAACATCACTGAGGAGAGAGAATCATTGATTGGCTGCCTCCTGCATGCCCTGCACTGGGGATTGAGCCCACAACATGGGCATGTGCCCTTGACAGGGAATCCAACCTTCTGGTTCATAGGTTGACTCTCAGTCACCGAGCCATGCCGGTCAGGCTGGTAACCTTATTATTATTTTTGGGGGGGTAAGAATAAGGCATTTTGAGTGCTAACACCACTTCTCATATCTTTAACATGCAAATTCATTTTTACACGACTATTCTAATATCATAGAAATAAACATTAAAAATGGTTAAAATTTAAATACAGGATGAAGTCAATTAAATATTGGAGAAAGGTTATCTAAACAAGCTGGCAGAGAAACCCTTAAAAAGTGAATGAAATAGGAAAAGACAGTCAGGAGGACATAAAAACACCATTCACAGAGGCTGCACATGAAATATGAAGTAGAAATTTGATATTAAGTCATATCTACCCTTGCATACACTGAACAGAAAAGGTTCTGAAAATGCCAAAAGAAACCCAAAATAAATGCTTTAAAAGAAATGTCTCAAAGGAGATCGCATTCTTTGTGAAACCACCATGAATGTCTGTGAATGTGGGAAAGGCTAGCCCCAGGGAATGCTGGGATGATGTTGCCAGGCAGGGTTCGGGCCCAGAATTGATAGGGTGGAGACTTTGGGGAGGAGCTAATGCTGGCTTTGCTTTCTAGAAATGGACGCGGCACTATTGCGCCATTGCCGATGCCAAGCTGTCCTTCAGCGACGACATTGAGCAGAGTGTGGAAGAGGAACCGCCGCAGGTAGGCGGAGACCTCCTACTGCTCCTCTATCCTGTGGTCATCAGGCCTGGACGTCCGCTGCCTAAGGAGATGTCTCTTTGGGTACCAAGGCCTCCCTGGCTCTTCTCTGATTGGCTGGCTGGCCCAGGGACTTCACCAATGAGGTTCTTTCCTGCTCTTTGAAGGCCCTGAATGGCATGTGCTCCCTCCAGAGGATGAGGTCATTTGAATATTTTGTCCAGCCCCACCCCCTGGCCTTGTCCCCAACTTTCCTGCCCTCTCCCTCAGGCTTCTTTGTTACTGTTCCTTGAGCTCCCAGGGTATTTTTGCTCTCAGACTTCCTTTGCAATAGACTTCCTTTGCGGAATGCTCACCTTTTGTCTCAGAACTCCAGGGGTTACCACAGATGGGGGCTGTCTGGAGTGGGTTAGTAGGCAGGGGAGGGAGTTATAAACTCTCGGGTGAGGGCTAGCTGAGGCCTCTATCTGTTTCCGGTCCCCTGGGTCAGCATGTGAAGGGGGGCCAGTCTGGAGATGCTGGGGGGCCTGGTCCAGGTTTTCAGAAACCCCTCCTCTCTTTGTGGCCCAGGACACGCCCCCCACAGAGCTGCATTTTGGAGAGAAGTGGTTCCACAAGAAGGTGGAGAAGAGGACAAGTGCCGAGAAGCTGTTGCAGGAATACTGCTCTGAGACGGGGGGCAAGGATGGGACCTTCCTGGTGCGGGAAAGCGAGACCTTCCCCAACGACTATACCCTGTCCTTCTGGTAATGACCCTTCTCCCAGGGTGTGCAGCCTTCTCCACACAGCTGATGGGGCAGGCTCGGTGGCAGGTGGTGGGTGTGCAGGCCAGATTCTAGCAGGCCTGGACCGGAACCCCAGACCTCATTTAGTGAGCTTTGTGGGGCAGGACTGGGTGAAGTGGGTGAGGCCTAAAAATTTAGTAATCTGGATTAGTGATATTTTAGTGCACTATTTAAAAAAATAAAAAGTAATGCAAAACCAAAACCAAAAAACCCCATGATGGCCCAGTTGGCATCGTTCAGTGGTTGAGTGTCGACCTATGAATCAGAAGATCATGGTTTGATTTCAGGTTCAGGTACCTGCCCAGGTTGTGGGCTTGGTCACCAGTGTGGGAAGTGTAGGAGGCAGCCAATCAAGGATTCTCTCCCATCATTGATGTTTCTATCTCTCACCCCTCTCTTCCTCTTTGAAATCAATAAAAATGTATTAAAAAAAAATCAGGATGAGCAAAATATCAACATAAGACCATGTGACCTCATTCACCTTCCCTAATCGCAGCCCTGGATCAGGTGATATGGCCCTGGGCACTTCTCTCAATCTCCTGGATTTTCCCTTTTTTCTCTAAAATAGAGATTCTAAAAGCAGCCTTATGGAGCTGTCATGAGATTTCTCATTCATTCATTCATTCATTCATCTATGCCTCATTCATGAAAAAATATTTATCCAGTTCTTGTTCTGTTGGTGGGCACTGCGATTTAGCAGTGATCAGACAGACAGGGTCTCTGTCCTGATGGTGACAATGAAAAAGTAATCATGATGCCCTGACCGGTTTGGCTCAGTAGATAGAGCATCGGCCTGCAGACTCAAGGGTCCTAGGTTTGATTCTGGTCAAGAGCATGTACCTTGTTTATGGACATATCCCCAATATGGGGCGTGCAGGAGGCAGCTGATTGATGTTTCTCTCTCATTGATGTTTCTAACTCTCTCTCTCCCCCTTCCTCTCTGTAAAAAATCAATAAAATGTTTAAAAAGAAAAGAAAAAGTAATCATGCAAATGATACATAATTGTAGTTTTGGTAAGTGCAATGAGAAAAATGCAAGATGTTATGAAAGTCTGTTAGAGAGGGATCTGATGTAATATTGGGGTTGGGGGGAAGGTGGTCAGGGAATACTCTCTGAAAGAAGTGGAGTTTAAATGGAGACCTGAAGAATCCCATATAATAAAAGCCTAATATGCAAATTGATCAAATAGCAAAATGACTGGCAGAACGACCAGTTGCTATGATGTGCACTGACCACCAGGAGGCAGGTGCTTAACATAGGAGCTGCCCTCAGCCCAAAGGCCCCAGGCCAGCTGCTTGCCCTGCAGAAGGAAGTGACAGGCAGAAGGGAGGCAGGCTGGCAAGTGGGCTGGCCAAGATGGGTGCCAGAGGGGGGTTCCCCGATCGCCGTGCCAGTTGCCCCACAGATCGACTCTGATTGCTAGCTAGGCCTAGGGACCCTACCCATGCACAAGTTCGTGCACTGGGCCTCTAGTAAAAACTATAACAACAAAACACAAAATTCTGATAGTTAACACATTCTTACCATGTGCCAGGCAGCATTCCAGGCACGCTTTGTGTGGGATTCCGTCTAATCCTCAGGACAACTCTGTGAGGCAGATTCTGTGTGACCACGAAGATGATAATACAGAGGCTCAGGGAGGACAGGTCACGTGGCAGAGTCAGATTTGAACGTAGGTCCTCTTGCTCCAGAGTAGGAGTGATGTAGGTAAAGGGGGCAGAGGTGGAGGAAGACTGTTCTGGAAGCCTGGGGTCTATTCTAAGAGCAGAGGGAAGCCTGTGTGGCCCCCGCTTGTGTTGTCTGACGCCCAGCGTGCAGAGGGCTGGCCTCGACACTGATGTTGCTGTCCCTCTGCCCACAGGCGGTCCGGCCGGGTCCAGCACTGCCGGATCCGCTCCACCATGGAGGGCGGGACCATGAAGTACTACCTGACTGACAACCTCATGTTCACGAGCATCTACGCCCTCATCCAGCACTACCGTGAGACGCACCTGCGCTGCGCCGAGTTTGAGCTCCGACTCACGGACCCCGTGCCCAACCCCAACCCTCACGAATCAAAGCCGTACGTGAGCCCGAGATCTCGGGCAGCACATCCATGGGTTTAGCGGGGGCAGATACCCCTCAGGTTGTGTCCACCAATCAGAAAAGCCAGTCTCATGGGTGTGCTGGGGCCCAAATTCCCCGGGGTCTCTTGAAGTTCCCATGGTGGCCACCATTTCAAATGCCCACTCCCCCTTTTGCCCCATTTCTTTCTTCTCCCTGCTTCTACTTTCTCTTCATAGTCCTGAGTTCCTGGGCCTCGGTTGTAAGAGCTTGATTTTGGTCCGGTGATGTCTTTCTATTTGTCAAAGATCATTCCTGTTTGTTCTGAAAGCAAACAAGGAAAAAATAGTGGTAAAGATTTCCCCTTCTTTTTTCTTTTCTTTTTTTTTTTTCTGATAAAGTGAATATCAGTTATGCCTTGCAAAGGTTTAACTGATTTTGGAAACAAACAAAAACCACATTTTTTAAGCAGGAGGCTGTTAAAGTGCACATGTCTGAGAAAGCCATGTAACGCACAGCAACTTTATTTTTGACGTCTCCTTTAGATTCGTACGGATTGCCTTTTAAAATTTGCTATTTCACATCTTTAAAAGTAACCAATGACCAACTAAACAAAAGAACCTGTTGGAAACGCTATTCCCTGTATTCTCTGCCTCTGATTTTCTGTGCCTTCCTCGGCTACTGGCCCTTCAGAGTTGGGCAATGGAGGGGTCAACATTGGTTGACTTTATTATCTTATGCTTCAAACGTCCGCTACATGGACATTTCACCCAAGCTGTGGTGTCTCAGTGGTCTTCTCTAAAAATGCTGTTCACAGAGGGTTTTGGGTGGGAGGCCCACTCATTTCCCCAGTGGTTTCCGGGGCCATAATTCAAGCGTCCTCAAGCCCGCTGCCCTCCAGCCCACCCACTCCCCTCCCATTGGGTCACCCTCTCACTTGGTGGTTTCCCGGCCTCTGCTGCAGGTGGTACTATGACGGGCTGAGCCGTGGAGAAGCGGAGGACATGCTGATGAGGGTTCCCCGGGACGGCGCCTTCCTCATCCGGAAGCGGGAAGGTAGCGACTCCTACGCCATCACCTTCAGGTAAGCACATGGCGGGAGCCTGCAGCATGCTCTCAGGAGGAGGCTTAGGAAGGCCAAGTGTGCAGAACAAAGGGGGGACTGCAGGTTTAGCTCAGGGTTTTCTCTCTAGAGGGTTAACAATAATGATATCAAACATAATGACACATGCCACCCATGTTAATATGTGCTTTTACTGGCTAGGGACTGGTCTATATTCGTAGTGATCAGTGACCATGGTAGGTATTTTTTCAGAGGAGTAAACGTAGGCACAGGAAGGTTAACTTGCTGAAACAAACAGCCAGTAAGTAGTGGGGCTGAGATTCAAACCCAGGCACCCCTGGCAGCCCAGGTCAGTGATGTCATAGATCTGATTTCCTCCCCGTTTCACTTGCCACCCAGCACTGCCTGTGGGAAGGCCAACCACCTCTAGGATTATGGGTCTCTACTTTAATTCCAGCCCATGACTCCTGATTCCTTTAGTTTCCCAAGGAGGTGAGGTTCAGACCCAGTTCGTCATCTGTCCTCTCAGCCTCAGTGGAAGCATGAGGATGCTGAGAGAAGGCTGGCTGCTGTATGAGTTCCTAGCTAATGTCCAGATCCTGGGCTGTCTCTGAATCATCTGGTTGAGTCCTCCACTGTAGCGATGAGGGGTTGATCCAGTTACTGCAAGTAAGGACACGGAGGCCCAGAGAGGTAGAGGTAGAGCCACACAGCCTAGTCCTGGGCTGGGCCAGAATTTCAGACTCGGGTCAGATTGGGCCTGCCGCTATTGGGCCTGCCGCTGTTTTGCTCAGTCTGCATGGTGATGTTAAAAACTGAGGAATCTCACTGGAAAATTCAGATGGCTTCTTAGGAAAAAATGGGAGGAGGTGGCAGCTCTGGGCTCATGTGCCCATGTGGCGATGGTGGTTACCTGCTGACAGGAGGGGCCTTGGTGTGCCCAGGCTGCTCCTGTTCTTTCCCATCCTATTGCCCTCGCCCATCCTACCAGGCTGCTCCCTTCTGTCCCAGTTATTCCTGGGAATGTGGGGGTGTAATTGTCATTATCTCTGCTGATACTGAGGACCTACTACATGCTGGCTCTGGCCCACATGACTCTTTTGTGTTTGTGCTGCCAACAGGGAGGCCCTGGGCTACTTTGCATTGGCTGTGCCCGTTGCTCTTAGTGGTGCCCTTCTGCCTGGATGGGAAGTGGGCTGGTTTCACTGAACATCTGCATCAGCCACCATGATGGGCGTTGGGGGTCATGTTGTAGTCCTGTCAGTTTGCCCGGATGCTGTTGGGTAAAGGGACAGAACCAAATGCAGTGACTGAAACAAACAAAATAGGTGGGAGTTGTTGGCTTCCAGCGGAGATGCTCTGACAGGCCTGGGTGCAGGCCACACCTGACAGTCCTCAGGTCGCCCTGCATCATGCTGCTCCTCGCTGCGGCGTCACTCCCAGGTGGCTGGGCCTCGGGGTGCCAGGAGAGTGTGCAGCAGAAAGGACGAGCCCTGGGATGCACTCCCCCTCTGGCCCCTGCTTGAGCTGGGTGCCGTGATTCTGGCCACCTTTGAGCTGGCAGTGGGGTTGGAGTCGCTTTACTGGAACCGTGTAGATGAAGATGGGGGAGCGAGGGGTCCCCAGATGATGTTTGATTTATGTACGTCCACCATTCCATTTGCATGTCTGTCCTCCCATGAGATTGGAGGCACCCTAAAAGTCTGAGTTTTTTATTTTTAGGAATCAGTAAATGTTCCATGAACACCTACTAGGTGCTAGTCCCTGTGCTGGGCTTCAGAAATACAGGAGTGATAAAAATAGGCCATGGTCTGGTGGGGATGAAGACGTCACATTCCTCTCCAGAGTTTCTTGCTTTTAACCGGTTTTCTCCTCCCTCCCATGGGCTGGGAGGCCACGGGCGGTCATACGTGCTGTCTCCCAGCCCATGAGTCAGCGATGAGGTCAGTTTCTCTGCCAGGAAGGCTTTGTCCTGCAGGTTGTGTCGCCAAGAACAGGGAGGGAAAGGCCGTTTGCTTCGCTTGGGACGGTGACCGTCTGGCCTCCACCCACTGAGTGCCAATTGGGGGCCCTCAATCACTGTTACAGTCAGAAAGGACATCTTTTTCCCTGGACACACGCATCCTTTCATACTCGCTGTGGTCAGGGTGTGAGGTGGGCATCCGTGTCCCTCATTAAGAACTGCTGCCCCTGGGAGGATAGTCACGTAAACAGACGTGTGTGACACGTGCCACAGAGAGAGGCCAGGCAGGGTGATGGGGAGTAGGCGTCTCGGAGGACGGGGTTTGGAGGTGAGGGATGTCCTCCAGGCAGGAGCACACAGGCCTGGAGGTCTTCCTCCCCCATCCCCATGTGTTGGGGGGACCACCTCTCCCCTGCCCTGGCTCCTTGAGCGTCTGCACCAAACTCTTGGATAGATTTCCATCCACAGCAGAGAAGCACCAGCGTTCAAACCCTTATGAGGAGAGGGAGTTGTTGTCTGGGCTGCAGGGTGGGAGGCACCCCTGGGTGGGGCAGGGGGTTCCTTCGTGAAGCCGAGACCTCAGGTTGTGGTGACCACAGACTTGGGGCAACAGCCTCCAGGGCGCCTGAAATTAAAGCTCACCTCCAGCCTGTGCCCGTCTCCTGCTCCTGCCCAGGGTGGCTCCCGTGGGCTTGACCATGGTTCTATTTTCCTAACTGTTCCTTTCCTGAGCACCCTCCTGGTGCGGGACACACTGCAATGGGCTTACCCTGGGTGGCCTGACAGACCACAGCCCGGACACTGCGGGAGACGGGAGCTGCAAACCCCAGCACGTGGTGAGGAACCGAACCGGACCCATGCCCTGGATATCCTAGCACCTCTCTGTCCCCGGGGCTTTGTAAAAAGCTTTAAAATCAACCTTTAATTGTATAAATATGTGTCCTCCTTATAATTAATAATTAAGACGTTTGCAGTGAAGGCGAAAGCCCCTTGTGGTTCTACCCTTCTCCATCCTTGTCCAGCAGGTTTCCAACTGGTGTCTCCATCTAGACCAGTGGCCCTCAACCTTCCTAACGCCTGGACCCTTTAATACAGCTCCTCGTGTTGTGGTGACTCCCAAACATAAAATAATTTTTGTCGCTACTTCATAACTGTAATTTTGCTACTGTTAGGAATCATAATGCAAATATCTGTGTTTTCTGATAGTCCTAGGCTCTACAGCAGTGGTTCTCAACCTGTAGGTCACCTAAGACCACCGGAAAACACAGATATTTACATTACAATCCATAACAGTAGCAAAATGACAGTTATGAAGTAGCAATGAAAATAATTTTATGGTTGGGGGTTACCACAACATGAGGAACTGTATTAAAGGGTCGCAGCATTAGAAAGGTTGAGAACCACTGATCTAGACAGAAAAAGGTACACACATGTGGTACACTTGTGGGAAATCTATAGTGCTGTTTTGTGTGTGGGCAGTCTGTGCTACTTTTTAAAAATACAAATGGGACCAGACCATGGTTTTATTCTGCAACTTGTATTTCTACTCAGTAGTCTATCTTATTTAAAAATTTATTAAAATATCACTGCAAATAAGCTACTGAAACAGAAGTCTCCTGGCATTTTTTAAAAGGCTTTCTGAAGAAGTGGCTTACACAGGATGTGTGTTTTAAATCCATAAAAAACGTCTCTAAGGTGCAATATTTTTTAAAAGATGAGTAGTTTTCCCGTAGTAACTGAGCTCTTAGACAGTTTTAATAAAAAGATGCTCTTGGCTGTAAAGTTAAGCTCAATACCTATTTTCCCAAATGTGACTGTTCTTGCTGATAAAAGCTGAGGAGTAATGCTGAGGAGTCTGTTCTGGTTTGGGTTTTGGGGTGTTTTTTTGTTTTTTTGTTTGTGTGTGTTTTTTTTTTGCCTCTTGTTTCAAATGGATGAGTGAGGAAATAAAAGACTTGTTTCCTTTTTGGGTGGGAGGGGTGGGAAAGACATTGTTGTACCAGATGGGGAATTTTGGATAAGACTTAAAGATTGGGGCAGGAAGTCCCAGAGTTCTAGAGCAGAGACTGGCAAACGTTTTCTGTAAAGGACCAGAAAATAAATATTTTAGGCCTTTCAGGCCATATGGTCTCCGTTGCAGCTCTTCCACTTTACCATGGTATTGCCACAGATAATATATAAGCAAATGAACGTGGCTGTGTTTCAATAAAACTTTATTTACAAAAGCAGGAGGTGGGCCAGATTTGGCCTGAGGGTCCTAGTTTGCCAACCCTGATCTGGATGTTCTCAAAGCCAAGTCCTGTGGTTGGGGAGGAGGGGACGGGTGAGAGGAGCTAGCTATGCAGACTCTTCTCTGTTTTGAAAAGATCCACATCGTTGTGTCAGAGGCTAGTTATACCCTGTTTATGTTTTGCCCTCAGAAGGGATCACTAGGTTGTTTCTAAGAGGTGGGACTGTACATTGCATAGCCATTGTCTGGCTGCCACCGTCTCGGTGTGTCAGCCCCGTGTGTTTCCCCGCAGGGCCCGGGGCAAGGTGAAGCACTGTCGCATCAACCGGGATGGCCGGCACTTCGTGCTGGGGACCTCCGCCTACTTCGAGAGCCTGGTGGAGCTCGTCAGCTACTACGAGAAGCACGCGCTCTACCGGAAGATGAAGCTGCGCTACCCCGTGACCCCCGAGCTCCTGGAGCGCTACAACATGGTAGGCGGCTGGCTTGCTTGTCACTTGGTGGATTATCTTGCCTGAAGTTATAACTCATCTGTTCATTCATTCATTCAGCAAACCTTTCATGGAGCACTTACCACGTGTCTGATGCTGCTCTGGTCCCAGGGATACAAAACTGGACACAGCACACAAAGACCCTGCCCTCTTGCTGCCTATATATAGTCTAGTGTGGGGGAGACAGATAATAGATGAGATAAATTAAATATATATATATATATATATATATATACACACACACACACACACACACACACAGAGCACTGTGGGATGATGGGACGTGCTGTGGAGAAAAATAAACCTGGCAGGTGGGTAAGAGGATTCAGGGTGACATAGAAGGGGTTGCCATTCTCAAGGGTGGTCTGGGAAGATCACCCTGAGAAGGAAACATTGGAGCAGACGTTAGCAGGGGTGAGGAAGTGAGTCATGCAGTTAATGTGGAGGAAGAGCAGCAAGTGCAAAGGTCCTGAGGGGAGGATGTCCCTGGAGGTGCAGAGAGAGCCAGGGTGGGGGTAGAACCTAATAAGACGGGGACTAATAGGCCTTGCGAGGTATCGGGCCATCATGGTAAGACATTGGCTTCTGTTCTGAGCCATTGGACGATTCCGAGCAGAGACAAGACCTGATCTGATTTCCTGTCCCAGTTCCTGTCAGGTGCATTCAGTAACTTACAGATCTATTGTGCACCTCCCACGTGCCAGGAGCTGTTCTCCATCTGAGAGGACAGTGACTACTCTGGGGAAGTTTGGGTTCTAGGCAGGGGAGCTGGATAACGTGCAGTCACAGAAATAAGGCGCCTGCAGGCAGTGGGAATCTCAAGGAGGAAAAACCAGACAGGATGGTGCCTAGGGGTGGGCATTATGTTACTAGATTGGGGCGGGGAGGTCAGAGAAGGCCTCTTGCAAGGCCTCTAAAATGTGAGCTGGAAGCCGGAAGAGGCAGTGAATTGGCCATGTGTCTGTGAAGGGAGCTGGTTCTGTGTGGAGGAGCAGCCACCACAAGCCAGGAAGTGACTGAGGTGGCCAGGTGGCTGAACCCAATGAGAGAAGCAGGGGGCGGGGGAATTAAAGGGAGGGTTTACAGTGTGTGTGTGGTAAACGTTTAACCAGTTCTCTGCAGAAAGAAGCCCTGGTTTGTGGGATTTGCCAGTTTCCATGGTGTAAACACTTCCAAGTGCCCACCACAGGATGCGAGTCAGGAAGAGACCTGCAACAGGCTCCCGCACGCTCAGGGTTTGGGTTTTACGAAGGCGCATAGTGCCCAGCACGCAGTAAGCTAGAATAGGGCTTTTCTCCTTTGGGGGTAACATTTCCCAGTTTTGGGGAACTTCTTTATGATATCTCACTGTCTCTACCCACAAGGCATGAGTAAACTGTGCGGTTTCACCTCTTCTGCTAGAGGGCAGGAAACCATAGGGCTCTGCAGTCCTTGTTCTGTCCTTGGGCCGTCCCAGGAGCAGGGATGGTTCCATTTACTTCTCTCTGTTCTTTTTCAGGAAAGAGATATAAACTCCCTGTATGATGTCAGCAGAATGTATGTGGATCCCAGTGAAATCAATCCTTCTATGGTACAGTGCCAACCTTTAATTTACACTTTTTCCTGGTCGCTAGATTGACACCGAGTCCAATCCCCTCTCCTGGTCCCCCCGCCCCTGGTCATAATAAGGTGAGGGAATGTTTTGGGAAACTTAGCAAAAAAATAAAAAATAAAAAATAAATAAATAAAATTTTTTTTTAGAGGAAATGATTGACAACATGACATCTAGTTTCAGGGAAGAGGTTAATAGAATTCCTTCCAAATGTGATTGTGCCTCACTGAAATTCTGAGATTTGATGAATCACCTTTGGGCCACACAGCTTCTAATTAAAAGTCTTTCAAATGTTTCTTGCCCGTCCACTGAGTAGGTGGTATTTATAAATTCTGTCTCGTTCACTGACCTTGCAGCGAGAACACCATTTCATATTCCCACCCGGCTGCAGCAGCGTGACTTCCCGCAGGTAGGGCTGGGTCTTACTCTCAGCCCTCAGCTCCTTCTCCCTCAGGTTTCACCTCAAATGTAGTGTGAGCCTGTGGAGGAGGAGGAAGGATGTGAATTTCCTGTTTTGTTTTTTGGGGGGGCTGTCCGGGGCCACCATCAGTATAAAATTCCTCATCAGAGAGGGGATGCACTGTGGGCTCTTTGGCAATCTAGAGACAAATTTATTTATTTATTATTTATTTATTTAGCTTATAATTCTTGGCCAATGCAAATTCCTTTCAGCAAGAAATGAGGTCTTGACAAGTTGTCGGCAAAGGAAGCTGTGTGCGAAATGCGTTCGCTTGATAGCAAAAAACGTTTATTAAAGGCAGATGCTTTGGTAATGAGAATGGCCGGGCCTCATGTCAGCGGGATGTCCGGGTGGTGGGACTCCCCAGGGGCAGCCCTCCTTGCCTCTCCAGAGAGCAGGTCAGGTCTTCTGATTTATCAAGATAAACCAATACTTTATTTATTTATTGTTGGAAGTATTTCATATGTCTCCCTTTCCCCCGACCTCTCCCCGCCTGCTCCCATTCCCCCCAGCACAGGCCCTCACCCCACTACTGTCTGTATCCGCTGGTTATGCTCATATGCATGCATACAAGTCCTTTGGTTGATCTCTTACCGCCCCCCCTCTCCCCCTCCCGCCCCGCCCTCTCCCTTTCCCCTGCTTTCCCTCTGAGATTCATCGGTCTATTCAATGCTCTATGTCTCTGGATCTATTTTTGTTCATCAGTTAATGTTCATTGTTCTCCACAAACAAATGAGGTCATGTGACATTTATCTTCCTCCGACTGGCGTAAGAGAAGCCAATACTTCAGATGTTTTATGTGCACTATCCCCATTTTTAAACCCTGGCAACTACATTAAGTTGTAGAGAAAATCTTCCTAGTTTACGTGAGCCAGGCAACACGTGACTGCATGCTGAATTTGATCGCACTTTACCCAACTGAGATGAATGCCTGGAAATAAAGCTGGGACTATGAATGGTTAGAAAAGGGTGTGGCAATTGAAAAAACACATTTGAAAAACAGACCAAAAGTTCGTCCTCATCTCACTGTCCTGACGCTGTGGCTGTTGGCACGACTACTGGGCATTCTGTCTCTCCTGGTCTCGGCCTGCGTTTCACAGTTACCACCACCCACATCTGTCACCTCCATTCTGCTTGGCTCACTGGCCACTTGGTCACGGGTTGGCTTTTCCGACACTAACCTTCTTATTGACTGTGTTTGTCTCACCTGGAAGGCCAAGCCACTGAGATGAAATACATGGCTTGGAATTTTAACTTAAAAAAGCATGCTGTCTGTGCTGTAGAGCATTCTGGGTGGCTGTGCCAGGTTAGCAGTGTCCCCATCTAGTGGCCAGCTGGGTCATTTCTGGTCTCTTGCTCTTAAGCTAACCTGAACTGTGAAGTTTTGGGCATCTCTAGCATAATTTCCTTTGGATGCGTTCTTAGAACTGGAATGCTAGATGAATAGTTACAGGTACCACATCCGCGACCACATATCCAGCATTGTTCTATGTACGTGACAGCTTAGTTCTTGTAACAGCCCCAAGCCGTGGGTACTATTTTTGCGCTCATTGCACAGCTGAGAAAACCGAGGCACACAGAAGTTGAGTAATTGCTGTGATCACGTAGCCAGGAAGGTGTGGAGCTGGAATTTGGACCCAGGCAGTCTGGCTGCCAGGTGTGTGCTCAGCCACCTGGCATTGCTGCTGCCTGCTGGGTCAGATGGTTCTGTCAGGCCGGGGACTTGCTCCTTGTGGAAGCCATTACATGACACCCCCACCTCTTCCACTGGCTGTACCTTCCTTGTTGTGTCCTGGGAGCCTGGCAGTGGCTTGTGGGGATTCAGAGGGAGAGATGTGGCTCAGATTCTGATACAAGAGGGGCAGTTAGGCTCCATCTGCAAGCGGAGGAGACAAGGGCAGGAGACCTGGTAGAACTTGCAATACCCAGATTAGATTGCCTTTTTTTTTTTTTTTCTGTTGTTAATCGTCACCCAAGGATATTTTCCATTGATTTTTTTTTTTTAGAGAGAGTGGAAGGGAGGAGGAGACACAGAGAGAGGGAAGAGAGAGAGAGAGAGAAAGAGAGAGAAAGAGAGAGAGAGAGAGAGGGAGAAAGAGAGGCAGAGAAACATCGATGTGAGATAGACACATTGATTGGTTGCCTCCCAATGAGCCCTGACCAGGGCCGGGAATCGAGACTGCAACTGAGGTCTGTGCCCTTAACCGGAAATAAACCACCGGGGACTCTTCAGTCCACGTGGGCCAATGCTCTATCCACTGAGCCAAATTGGCTAGGACTAGGTTGCTTCTTAAGGAATATCATAAACTGTGGCAATAACTCAGATTGATTGATTCATCTCTGCACTCAGCCACCTACCAGCCAGTTGACCTTGGGCAAGGAAGGATACTTCATCTCTCTGAACCTCAGCTTCTTCACCTGTAAAATGGGCATAACAACACTGCCACCTACGTGTTATGATTGTTGGAAAGATTAAAGGAGATACTATAGATAAGAGGCCTAGAGCAGTGTTTTGACTACAGCAAGCCCTTAATAAATGCTAGATATTATCATTTTTTTGTCATGCACTATCTCATTAAATAGTCTTAACCCTGTGAAGCATGTAAAGTTTTAATTCCCCTTTTCCAGATGGGGAAATTGAATCTGGGAATGCCTCAAGGTTATATAGTAGTAAGGAGCAGAGCAATAATTTGATCCACATGTTTGACTCCATAGTCTCTGCTTGAAGGATTAGTTTTACTGGATTCCTTGTAAAACCTGCTCACCTTTCCTTGGTGGGGGAAGGGGGATTGTTGCTGATCTAAACAGGTTTGACAGCTTCCGATTTTACGATTCATATTTGCTTGCTGCATGGGTATTCATTTTGCCATGGATTTGTGCTTGCCACACAGGCATTAAAGCAAATTCATTGAAGAAAAATTTTATTCTGAGTAAGTTCTGGGTTGTTTCCACTGAGATCACCTTTTGATGGCTTTCATGGAGGAGTGCCTCGGCTACTCTTGCAAAATGTCTGTGTCCTGCAGGAGTCCAGTTAGGGGCCCCCTGGCCTGGTAAATATTGGTGAGGCCGAGGATGGTCAGGAATGTGTTGAGTTTGAACTTCTGGGAGGGTTGTTGAGCATGGGCTCTGAGGACTTCAAAGGTGGTGGTCATGGCTTAATCTGAAAGGCGTGTTGAGGAAATGGAGTAGTTTTGGATGGTTGGGTGCCCTTGGCTCTGACCAGTCTCCATCTCTACCAGTGACTTTTTGAGACTATGGAGTCTTCGCAATGCTAGAAATTTGCCAGCAGATGGTGCTGTAACCCTGGACTGAAGCCTCTGGCTCCCTAGGGAGAACTAAATGTGCGACAATACTAGTACACGCAGAAGCCTCCCTTTGCTCATCAGCCTGCCTGACCTTTTTCTTCTTGTTTTCCCTGAAAGCCTCAGAGAACCGTGAAAGCTCTGTATGACTACAAAGCCAAGCAGAGTGACGAGCTGAGCTTCTGCCGTGGCGCCCTCATTCACAATGTCTCCAAGGAGCCCGGGGGCTGGTAAGGTTGAGCTGCTTGGCGGATGCACTTCACAGGTCACTTTTGGGTGGTGAGACACAAGTGCCGGCTGAGCTCGGACCCTTGTTTTCTGTGCTCTGAGCTGGCTTTGACCGGTTCTACCTTCTCTGGGAAATGGCTTGATACCTGCAAGTTGTATGCGGAAAAGTGGATAAACACCAATTATTATCATATTAAATCACATAGCATAATATCATAATAGCAGCTACCGTTTCTGAGGTCTTCCTGTGTGCCATGCACTGTGCTGATAGCTTTCAGACGTCACCTGACCAAATCCTCGTTACGACCCTGTGGAGTCTTTACTATGATGATCCCCACGTTACAGATGTGGCAAATGAGACTTTCCAAACTTCCACCGCTACTACGTAGCTCAGGCTCTTTCCATTCCATAAGCCTGGCATTATTTTAAATTCAAATTCTTATGCTACAGCTTAGTCCTGTGCCCTATGCAGTGGCCCCATCCTGGGTTGAAGAAGGCACATTTTAGGTCAAGGGTACCTGGTGAGCTGAGGTCCAGTTAGCTCTTCCCTCTGTTCACGTGGGAAGAAAAACTTGCTGCCCAGCCATAGGCCCCATTGTAGGTGGTTCTGTGGGGGTGATTTCTACTTGAGAGCCGTAAGAATTTGTTCATAACCATGAACACTGGCAGAGATTCAAGCGCCTCACAAGATCAATATCTCATCTTCCCACAAGACAGCTGAGCCTGCATTTTGCAAACAAACTGGCCCAGAGAAGTATAGTATTATAACTTGTCCAGGGTCACACAGCAGGCTGAGATTTGAAGTCAGACCTTCTGATTCCAGAGCGCACACTTTTAACCTAACTCATGTATGGGCTCCATGAGTTTGACCAAATGGCAAGAGGATTTACCCCCAATCTCACTCGTTGCTGATAAAAAAATCAGAGGATCCCTTTGAAATGCTCCATTATCTCAACACCTCCTCTGGTCATTCGGTCACTGGCCTTTCTCTCAGCAGCAGCTGCGGTCTTAAGGGACAGTAATGAATTAACACTGCCCAGCGAGGCCCTTGATGTCATCTGTGTTTACCTAGGTGGAAAGGAGACTATGGAACCAAAATCCAGCACTACTTCCCGTCCAATTACGTCGAGGACATTTCAACGGTTGATGTGGAGGAGCTCGAGAAGCAGGTGAGTCACCATCGTTGCAGGGAGAGACCTGCTAATCCTTGGGGAATCCGCTGAGTCACCTCAGTGGTTATATTTTATACATGATGGCGTGTGGTCCCTGAGGAGCCCTGCAGCAGAGTGACATGGAAATCAGGAGTGTGCCCTGAGCTGTTGTGGGTGAAAGTCACTGTGACGAGCCCTCATATTTTAATCAGGCTGTTCTGGGCTGGAAAGGTTTGGATATGCAGGAGAAATCTCTCTAGAGTAAAAATGGCCAAATGGGGAATATGTCCTTTGCCTAAAGCAGCTTGCAAATGAAACACATTCCGTTTGGCCAGCCAGACATTCAGAACGAACGTGCTTGGTGTGGCTAAGCAAGCAGGCCAACGTGGAAGGTGCGTTGAGGCCTTCCTGGTGACATGGCAAACCTGGTCTCTGTGTCCTGCTTCCTTTTGCCCAGCAGACTCAAAGATAATCCATTTTCACTGTGACAGCACTATACCAGGCATGAACTCTCTATAATGCAGGCTTTAAGGTCCTGCTTGAGTTTAAGGAATTTGCCAAGTGAGTTGGGGCAATCTGGGAAAGCTGGCGTGGAGGAAGGGGCATTTGAACCTTAAAAGTTAAGTTAGAAATCAGCAGCAAGAGCCTGACAGAAGAGAATTCCAGGTGGAAGGTACTGCCTAAGCAAAGGTGTGGTGGTGAGAACGTGATTGTGTTCAGTGTGTTCAACCGGAGGCAGAGATGTAACCCCCTTATTGCATCTGTCCATGATGCCTCTACCCACAGAGCATTAGCATGGGGAGGAATGGGGGTGTGCAGGCAATGGGCAGATGCACAATTCTGGTAGATATCCTAAGACAAGGCATTCCCTATCTCACCTGGACCTGGGGATGGTTCAGATGTACAGTGGGAGGTAGAGCTGGAAGGCTGATTGGGGCTCCTAGAAAGCCTTAAAGTCAGATGACAGAGCGTGGATTTTGCTCCCATAGGACGTGGAGAGTCACAGAAGGTTCTTGAGTTGTGCTTTAGGAGAACAGCTAGTCCCATTTCATCATAATGTCAGAATAAAGAGTCTGGGATGTGTTTGAAATCAGATCTATGGAAACCTGTTCTAGAATTCACAAGGCACATTTTTTAGATTAGAAAATGAATCGCCGAACCTGCTGGCACCCGCTCAATGCTGAGTCCCTATCAGTAAAATGCTTCATTAGTTAGCTCTTTCCCCTCGGATGTATCCTGTAATGAAAATGCATTTTAAACAGTTCCACCGGCTGTGCCTCCGCTAAACGGTGTGCTTTGGAAACAGGTTGTCTTTTGTGATTGTACCTGTTAAGGCTAACATGAGTTATGTCTTATTTCTTCACAGATTATTGAAGACAATCCCTTAGGGTCTCTTTGCAAAGGAATATTGGATCTCAACACCTATAATGTTGGTACGTTCACACATGGCGTTAGCCTGGATTCCCACCCAAATCCTCCAATCTGGCCTCAGAATCACCCCCTGCAGGGAGGCGGCCCTCGTTGGGTCCTTCTGGCCTTGACTTGGATGCTCCCGTTGAGTATTGGGCCAGGCTGGTTGCTGACTGCAGTGCCATGCCTGCTGTTAATAACTATAGTGCCAGCACGGGGTCTGGTGGAGAGGAAGGGCTAGATGAATGTTTAATGTTGTTATTCCAAACATCATCTCAGAGATCTGCCGGGGTTTCCCACGCTACTTTAAGAGGAGTCAGGCTATTGGCCTGGCTGTGGAGGAGCATGGAGTTAGGAGTGTCTGGTTGTAAGCCCAGCTCGGCCTCTCAGTTGCTATGACACCCTGGATCTGTCACTTCTCTCTGAACCTCCACTTGCTGGCTGCTCAGCTGGGCATGGGGAAACCTTGGAGTCTGGTGCAAGGGGGGATGTGACTGCACAGCCCGCGCACACAGGCGCACACAACGGAGCCAGTGATAGTCTCACCCTCCGAGCCGTCAGTACATCTGAGCCTGACCAGGCCCGCCTTTAAGCGGGGCTGCAGCAGCTTCCACACGGAGGGACAGAAGGCAGTGAGAACACTGGGCAAGAAGCCCACGCAGCGCTTCTCTCTGAGCAGCCATGTTTCCACAGCTCCGTGCAGTCCATCCATGCATTAGCCTGGGCCTATTCCCACCAGTGTTTTTGCTGGGGAGGCCTGAGCAGGGTCCTAAGCCTCAGATAACAATAATGCCAGGAACGTTCTGCTTCTACGGTCAGCTCTTTGCTTTTACTATTTATTACCCGTGGGTTTTTTTTTTTTTTTTTTTTTTTTTACAACAATCTGATAGTGTAGGTAAGAGAGGGATTCTTGGTTTCAGTTAACAGGCAAGAAAACCAAGCCCTAAGTGACCACAAGTCCCCACCAAGTTCATGGCTGAGCTGAGATTCACTTGTGTTGCTCTGTATGTCGCTGTCCCGTGTTTGCAGAGCATAGGCATGTGGCTGAGTGGTTAGGAATAGGAGCCTTGGAGCCAGGTCTGACTCGAGCCTCAGCTTTGCTGTGACTACTTGTGTGATCCTCCATGTGTCACTTCCCCTCAGCGTGTCTCTGTTTCCTCCTCCTGTAAAATGGGCGTGGCAAGCGTAGCACTCCAGAAAGTTGAAATAAAGATGGAATGAGATATAGTGTATGTAATCTGCTTAGAATATTGCATGGCACAGACAAGCCCAGAGATCTCAGTGACTAATGTTACTTGGCAGATCCTTATCCTCTCGTGGCCTTCCTTTTCTTACCTAGAAAACTTCTCTGCAGAGAGAATCTGTTCCATGCCTCCCTCCCACCTCCTGGTGGCTGCTAGCCACCCCTGGTGTCCCTTGGCTCATGGCTGCATCAGTCCAGCCTCTGCCCCCATCCCGTTAGTGGCCGCCATCCCTGTGTCTGTGTCTCGTTTCCCTCTTCTTTCTCTGATAAGAACACCGGCTCTTAGATCACTCTAGGATGGCCTCATCCTGAGATCCTTTAAGTACATCTGCAACTGTATTCACATTTCTAGGCACCAGGGGTTAGGGTGTGGGTCTGTTTGGAGAGCACAGCTCAGGCTGCTGCATAGCTTGAGCAGTGACATGTAGAGTGGAGACACTGCCTGGCACAAAGCAGAGGTCCCCGTCAGCACGGCCCACGCAGTGGCTTTTGGGTTCATGACTGACGTGGCTCGGGCAGCGTGCAGGCTGGTCTTCGTGGCTCCCTACCAGGCTGACCAGGGCTCGTGTTATTCTCTCACAAAGTGAAAGCTCCGCACGGGAAGAACCAGAAGCCGTTCGTCTTTATCCTGGAGCCCAAGAAGCAGGGTGACCCCCCGGTGGAGTTTGCCACGGACCGGGTGGAGGAGCTTTTCGAGTGGTTCCAGAGCATCCGGCAAATCACCTGGAAGATCGACACCAAGGTAGGCCCCTCAGCTCAGCTGGGCCCGGGTGGGCCTGGTGTGCTCTGCTGAGCTGTGGGTGGGTCTCGGCAGCAGGAGGTGTGGGCCCAGGGGCCACACAGAATCCAGGGAGGCGATGGGGTGGGTTCGGATAATAAGAGCGCCAATTGTTTTGAAGAGGAAGGGATGTCAAGGTCCCCGGGCTAGTGCAGAAGTCTGAGTGTGTGCAGTGACTCTTGATGTTTAGGGCCATAGCTTGACAAGAGAGTTTTGCCTTACTTATTTTGAGTGTTTTCTTGTCTCTAAACATTGTTCAAAGCTGGCAGGATTCCTCCTACAGCAAGCATGCCCTGAGCTCACCTCCCTGGGCTTGCAGTGGCCCTGGGAAAATGTCATCGTTTGTGTGGTGGAAAAACTTCCACTCTAGATGGGTGTGGACTTTCCTGACCGGAGCTTAGTGTTGGGCTGGAAGTGGTTTGAGAAGGGTCCTGGGTAAGAGCAGGAGGGGTAGTTCTAGGCAGACTGGAGTTTGTATCCGGGCAGGGCTGGTCCCTGGGCAAGTCACTAAACTTCTCTGGGCCTCAGTCTCCTTGTTTGCAAAACGAGGAGCCAAAGGTGAAATGAGACGAAGCATGAGAAGTGCTAGGCCAGTGCCTGACGTACATCAAGTGCTCAGCTCTTGATGGTATTTAGTCACCACATTATCGTCACACCAGTAGGGCATGGGGAGGTGTAAGGTGCCGTCTGCTCTTTCCTGTGGCTGTAGAACTGGGAAGAAGTTTTAGGGTTTCCCATACGCACACGTGCTTCTAAGACAGGTCTTGACCCAAGAGACCGGCGTTATGTTTTCCCAGGATCTCTTGGGCCTTTGTGACCTCTGTTATAGTTGATGGGTCTTCCTCCTTCGGTGTACTGGAAGGACAGCAGCAGCAGCCCGGTCTTTCCTTGCTCCTGGGGGACCTCACACTTGGCCACCTTGACTCAACCTTTTAACAGCCTAAAGTGATGTCCTCTTACTAAGAAGACTTTCTATAGAGAGCTGGTAGGGAGAGCACCCTCCTTGGTAGGACCTGTCATATTTCCTGTTCCAGGGTCTAGTCAGAGGCCTCACATATGAGTCCTCATTCTTCCCAAGTCTTGTCACACGATCACCAGTTACTTAGGATGAGCTGTGGTCAGCAAGTTCCCATCTTTCCGGGTCAGGGCATCGCATTTGCCTCTGGGCCTTCCATGTAGGACAGCTCTGAGGCACCAGGGGGCGCCACTATACCAAGATTCATTTGAAAGGTCATTTTCCCCCCTAACTTCTTCCAGGTGTGTTCTCATTGCCGGTTGAATGGTGACCATCCTGAACTGAATGGCACCATTCGCCAGCATGTGACCCTCCTAAGTATGTTCTAGTATTTGTGATTCTGGGCCCCTAAAGCTGAGGATGGAGAAAAACACCAGTGACGAAGCCCTTAGCAGTTGTTCTCTGTAGACTTTATTCCGAGGCACCCAAACCTCCCCTGAAAGTGGTCTGAGAGTGGGGCTCAGCGGTATAGGCATGGCGATGGCACCTTCCTCTGACCGGTGCATCCTGGTTCTCCTCTGCTGTTCATGAAGGAAAATGTGACTTAAAGGTCCTCTGCCCCTTTCTCTCCTCTCCTGCGTAAGGCTTCGGAAATTAAGCCTCGTTCTTCAAGGCTGCTGTCCTCTCTTTGATCTACATTCCCCTTTAATTGGCTTTTACAACTACTAAAATTTCATGAGAAAGGCTTTTTAAAGTCTTATTATAGTAGTATATGAAGGTTTAAAAAAAAAAAGTCACTGGAATTGATGGAGTCTTGCTCTGGGCACACCCAGCGGTAATAAGAGCTGGTGCGGGAACAGGAAGGAGGCCCCCTCCTGCCTTTGGGAGACCAAGGGGAGGGGAGCTCTCAGCTCACCCGCTGGGAGCTCCTTACCAAGGCTTCCCCATCGTGCCCGCCCCTAAGAACATGCTCAGGGACCTGTGATTTTACACAGTCCCTGGGCTCCTTCCACCCGTGGCACAAGACCATCTCTAAGATCCATCTGGTTAGTGAGTTTCTAAAGCCTGGCCCATGCAAAGGGTTGTGACTTCATATTCTGAGATGGCCTGGCGGGCAAGTTCTGCCATTTTTTAGAGTAATTGTTATGAGATTTTTTGAGGAAGCAAGTGGTATTTCATCTTAACCTAATACGTCTCCTGCTAAGGTTGGAACAAGGGAAGCCCATAGCTTGTCACTGCTCTGTGCTTTGTGAGACCAAAGTTCTATAATTCACCACAGGGATGTCCCTCCCCCACACACCTTTAAAGCAATTCCGTTGTCATTGGAGGTGAACTATGTTGTCTCCGGGGTCTTCTGTCTCCAAACCACCCCACGGTGAAACCACCCGAATCCAAAGCCACGTTGATATAAGGTTCAGGAGAAAACACCTGAAGTCCGTCTGTTTTCCTCATGGCGTTTTGCTGTTAACTATGTGGCTGACATCCTTGCCACTTATTCTGGCCCATCCCACCTATAGCACCCCTTCTAGCCCTACCATTATGGCTTGCAATCAGGAAGGATGGAAAGGGCTGGTGAAAGTTAGGCATGCATAGATGAGCTAGAACCAATGTCAGAGGCTTACAGTCACATTCTAATCTGTCCTGGTGAGGTGGTCACTGCTGGGGCTCAGATAAAAGGCTTTGCCGGTCATTGCCAAGGTCCACTTCGGCCCCAGGATTTATGTGAGCACTTATGGGTTGAAGGCATTTTTATACAAGAAATCTAGTCCCACACCCGCTGTGTAAAGAGGGGAATTTTTCTGTCCTTTGCCTGGGGGACATTTCTGAGTGGCCTTACAAGCCTGGAGGAGTGCTAAGGCCTTCTTGTCCAATTCTCTAAAGGTAGAGTACTCGCCTTAGTCTTATTTTACAGTTGAAGAAACTGAGGTGCAGAGTGTCTATGATTTGCCCTGTTGACCCAGCTAATAAATAGTAAGGTCTGCTTTCAAACCCATGTCTCTGATTGGTTTCCACTGCCATTACCACTGTGTTAAGTAGCCCCCCTCACTACCTGCCACCTGAACACTTGTTCCTCACAGGGTGCTGCTCCCAAGGGACATGTCTCAGGGGGAAACAGCGTCTGGGCAATAGTGATGAATGGCATCAATGCAGGACAGTCAGACAAGAGACAGTGTAAGGCTGAGAAAGGCCTTACACTGTAAGTGTAAGGTGAGCACTCTGGGAGATTTGAGGAAGGCAATATTCTTTTCCAGTGCTGGCTGGAGTAATCCAGGTAGGCTTCCTGGAGAAGGAATGATCTGGGCAGGGTCCAGGAGGAGGGAACTGATGGAATGCAGAGAAAGGACAGGAGCTGCAGGGTGAGGAGCTAGGAGGTCACTGCTGTGATTCAGGGGACCTGGGATGTAAACTTTGGGGCATTTTAGGGAAATCAGAGGCAGGAAGAGGCTGTGTACACTTCCTCAGCCTCAGAGGAGAAGGGTGCAGGGGACAGCAAGTTACAAGGAGGAGGCTGTGGTCTACAGAGCCCAGGAGGACATGAGGTCACGGGCTTGGAGAACTAGAATTGGACGAACTCTAACAGTGGTTTCAGGGGAAGGGACAGGCCCGGGAGCAGAGGGTTAAGGAGAGTGGTGTGGTGACAGACACCAATCCCGGGTGGAAATAACCTGGTCAAAAATTTTGGCAGGAAGAGGAAGGGAAGAGAGGAGGGGCAGGGGCAAGGAAAAATATTCAACCACATCAAAGATCTGAGCATGCAGGAGGGCCAAGAAGAGCGAGAGGGGAAGCAAAGAGGGGAAGGCAGGCCAGGTGAACTGGGGCGATAGGGTTTCGAGGGTCCTGGCTTGAGGTCTGAAACTAAAGACAGTCGGCCCCCAACAGGAGAACAACATGAAATACTGGGAGAAGAACCAGTCGATCGCCATCGAGCTCTCGGACCTGGTCGTCTATTGCAAACCAACCAGCAAGACCAAAGACAACTTAGGTATGTCTCCCATGATGCCTCCGGACACGGTGAAAACTCGTTTTCTCTTTGAGTGTGGCATTGCCAGAGGGCACAGAGAGTGTGGTTCCTGCTCCTTCTGAACTGCTCCAGGTGGGGGCTTCCCCCTGAATTAGTCCTTAGGGCCACTGTACTGGTAACGGGCCCTTCTGATGGCTTTAGGAGGAAAACCCTCTCAGAGGGAAGGTTGTTCGTTTCCTCCTGTTTTTATAACTAGTTAACTACAAACTTGGTGGTGGAAAACAACATATATTTATACTCTGGCCTCCTGGAGGCCAGAAGTCTGAAATCAGTATCTCTAGGCTGTGGGAAGATTTCAGCCACTCCCTTCAGGGAAGACTATGTTCCTGGTCTCTTCCAGCTTCTGGTGGCTGCTAGCATTCCTTAGCTAGTGGCTGCATTGCTCCAATCTGCCTCTCAGTCAAATGGCTTTCTCTTCTATGTAGTCAAAATATCTCCTGTTTCTAAGGACCCTGTGGTTACATTGAGGGCACAGATAATCCAACCATGACAAGCTCCTTAATTAAATCTGCAAAGTCTCTTTTGCCATAAAAGGCTGCATATTCACAGGTTCCAGTGATCAGGATCCTTGGGGGCTAGTATCCAGCACAGGATTTAAAAAAAATGGCTCTTCTACCAAATTCTCTAAAGTAGCCAATTCTTTGATCTTAGAATGGTCCCATTCACATTCTCTTCCCCCTTTCTTTGAGCAGATCCTACCTTTGATCTCAAGAACCTGTGATTCCAGAGGAACCGTACTAAACCCCAGAGTTAATGGTCACTGGGAGGCACCTCCTGGTTTACGTGCTGTCCCACCACAGCTGGCTATGTAGTAGCAAAGCTTCATCCAACAAAGAACTGTTTGCATATTCCCACCCCTCTCCCCCCATTCACTGCTCCTCCCTCCTCCATTCTCCCTCCACCAAGAGGCTTGGTTTATTCTCCTGTATCTATAGGACTTTTGATGAGAAAGCGCTCCTAAGATCTCCTGCTACATGCTAACCCCCGAGGCCATCTCCCCTTTCTAGAATTGTACCATTTTTGTGTTTTCTTGTGCAAGGCTGCAGTTAATTTTAAACCAAAAGAAAACGACAGTAATTCTAGATGAAAAGGTTGCGGGAACCCTCGGCACTTTTTTAACGTAGGCTCCCTGAAGCCCAGGAGCCCATAGCAGTCCCAATTATGGCAGTATCATCAGAACCACGTGCGCGTCTTGTCACAGAGAGTCCTGGTTTCCTTTTATAAGCCTCTGCACTAAATAAAGCGCAGGGGACACAGAGTAAACGGTGCCTCTGTCGCTATGTGCAGAAAATCCCGACTTCCGAGAAATCCGTTCCTTTGTGGAGACGAAGGCTGACAGCGTCGTCAGACAGAAACCCATCGAGCTCCTGAAGTACAACCAGAAGGGCCTGACCCGTGTTTACCCGAAGGGACAGAGGGTGGACTCCTCCAACTACGACCCCTTCCGCCTCTGGCTGTGCGGCTCCCAAATGGTGGCACTCAACTTCCAGACTGGAGGTAAAGTGGAGCTTTTTAAAAAAAATTTCTTTATTGATTAAGGTATTACATATGTGTCCATTGATCAGGCTTATATGCATGCATATAAGTCCTTTGGCTGATCTCTCCCCCTTACCCTACTATCTCCTACCTTCCCGGAGGTTTGACGTTCTGATTGATGTTTCTCTATCTCTGGATCTATTTTTGTTCATCAGTTTATGGTGTTCATTCCACAAATGAGTGAGATCATGTGATATTTATCTTTCTCTGCCTGGCTTATTTGACTTAGCATAATGCTCTCCATCTCCATTCATGTTGTTGCAAATGGTAAGAACTCAAACTTTTTTATTGCAGCGTAGTAGTCCATTGTGTAGATGTACTAGTTTTTTAATCCACTCCATCTGCTGATGGGCACTTAGGCTGTTTCCAAATCTTAGTTATGGTGAATTGTGCTGCTATGACCATAGGGGTGCATATATCCTTTCTGATTCATGTTTCTAGTGTCTTGGGATATATTTCTAGAAGTGGGACCACTCGGTCAAATGGGAGTTCCATTTCTAGTTTTTTGAGGAAACTCCATACCGTTCTCCATAATGGCTGCACCAGTCTGCATTCCCACCAGCCGTGCATGAGGGTTCCTTTTTCTCCGAATCCTCGCCAGCACTTGTCATTTGTTGATAATAGCCATTCTGATAGGTGTGATATGGTACCTCATTGTCGTTTTGATTTGCATCTCTCATGATTAGTGACTTTGAGCATGTGTTCATATGTCTCTTGGCCTGCCTTCTGTCTTCTTTCGAAAACTGTCTATTTAGATCAGTTGCCCAGCTTTTGATTGGGCTGTTTATCTTCTTTTTGTTAAGCTGTGTGAGGTCCCTATAAAAGTTGGAGATTAAACCCTTATCTGATATCATTGGCAAATATGTTCTCCTGTGCAGTGGGCTTTCTTGTTGTTTTAAGTGGGGCTTCTTGTGGTCACTAAATCTAAGATGATGGTGGTGTCAGTCCAGGCAGTCTGCTGAGGCCACCGAGGGGATGTGATGTCCAGAAGATGTGATTTGTTTGAGGAACAAGTTCAGCCAGCCATGCGAGGGTGAGGGCCGTCGGTTGAGCAGAGTGATTGAAGGAACTGATGAGCACGCTTGACACTAGGCAATGGTATTTGGCAGGTTCCATGATGCAAGTGACAACATGGAGTGAGTCTGGATTGAGAGAGAGAGGAAATGCATTAGCTCATGTAATTAAAAAGCTCAGGGGTTGCATCAGCTCCAGGTTCAGTGGGTGAAGGTGTTCAGTGCCTTTTTTCAGCGCTCTCCTCCTTTCCTGGTGCATCTCTGAGGACTACATGCTGGGAGGAAGCAGCATGCAGAATTCCTTTACACAAATGGCGGCATAAATTACAGCATTTTGCACTTTGGGTGTTGGTTAAGCCTCTTTTGGGGATCTGTTCGTCGGTAGTGTCCTCTCTCTGGCTTTTATGCCTGTGCAGGATTCCACTGACTAGAACCATCGTTTATTCAGCCGCCCCCTGCTGAGGCACATTTAGGTTACTCCCCATCTTTTGCTATTCCAGATGGCTCTGCCTTCTGCAACCTTCTGTGAGCACCGCATCACAGATGGGGAGCTGCATCTGTCAGACAATTCTCAGGCAGGCAGGGTGCATCAGACGTCACTAGCATTTTGATCAACTTGGCCCTGAGGACAACCACCGAACACCTGCATCCGGTGGTGCCTGAGCTGAGACACTCGGTCACATATCTCCCTAGAGATTGCACGTGCGATGATTGCAAACTGGTAATGCATCTGAATACATCCTTCTGGCGTAACTCCATCAACTTAGTTTTATCACACTTTCGAATCTTTGCCCACCTGATTGATAGATGAAAACTGCTGTCAATGAAGCTTCCCTTACTGGTTTTGCTCTTATAAGTCACAGGAGCAGTTTCTCATGTATTTAGAAAGCACTTGCTTTTTCTTTTCTTTTCTACAGACTGTTCACGTTTCTTTTTCTACAGACTGTTCACGTTTCTGACCCAGCTGTTCTAATGGGGTGTAGGTATTTATATGTTCAGGGTGTCTCAAAACTGTACACACACTTTTTTACCTGATAGCTCAATGGATGTTTGTTTCTTTTCAGATTTAATCCATTGAAATGAATAGTTATTCAAAGTGTGTATACATTTTGGGGGGACACTGGATATTTATTTGACTTAGAAGGATTTTTCTTTCCACAGCATGTCTTAACTTTTGTGGATTTTTTTTTTCTATGTAGACATATTTAGCTTTGAGTAGTTTTTAATTATCTTTTTTTTTTTAAAGCTCATATTTTTCTCCCAGTAATATGGATTTTTTTTTTAAATCCATTGAAAACTCATATTTTGAGTTTAGATATCTTAACAACTGGCTATCATTATTTTTGGAAAAATGAGCAAATCATCCCCTGCCTGGCCCAGGAGGCCAGCCTTTCCCTGCCTGATCTCCATCAGCAGTGCCTTTTCTTCCCAGACAAATACATGCAGATGAACCAGGCCTTGTTTTCACTCAACGGGAGGACCGGCTACGTCCTGCAACCTGAGAGCATGAGGACGGAGAAGTACGACCCCATGCCACCCGAGTCCCAGCGGAAGATTCTGATGACCTTGACAGTCAAGGTAAGGCCACACTCTCCTACCTCACTCAGGGAGCCAGGGCCTACTGACGCCTGTCATTTTGTTTGAACCATCACATGGTTTGAGGGTCTCAATTACAGGGCACCCCAAAGGAGAAAGGGCGACCCTCTCAAATGCATCTTGGACACCTTACCCCCATGTCATCTGTGGGGCTAAGGTATGAATCCGGCTCTTGCAGGGTTCAGGAGGGTATCTCCTGGGGCCCAGTGAGGACAGATTCTGGCCAGGAAAACGGGCCTTTGGTCTTTATGGACGGGAGTGTTTGTCCCCATAATGGCTATATTTAAGGGTGAAAGCTTTTTAAAATTCAACTTTCAGAGAATATATTATCTCTTTATGAGAATTTTTTGTTATTTCCTCTTTTGGAAACTATGCAAGGTAGGAAAAAAAAAAGTTTCATTTCTCATAAGATTAAGGAGGGGGTTAAAAATGAAGCTTTTGCAACCAAAGACCTTTAAAAGATAATCACACACACTCCATCCTTTCCTGGGAGCTGGGAATCAAGTGATTAAATGCTGTGAGTGAACACCTGGGCGTGGGCGGATGCATTTTTGTGCTCCGGTGAGGTCCTCCTGTTAATTCTGATGGCCTGGGCACTCTGCTCCTAGCTCACCTTAACACAGAGGTGGGACCATCTAACCCTGCCAAGGCATTGGGGGGTAGTTAATATAGCAGGCTAATTAAAAAAAAATCATATATATATATGATTTTTTACAGAGAGAAAGGGATAGAGAGTTAGAAACATTGATGAGAGAGAATCATCGATCAGCTGCCTCTTGCACACCTCCTATTGGGGATGTGCCCACAACCAAGGTACATACCCTTGACCGGAATCGAACCCGGGACCCTTCAGTCCGCAGGCTGATGCTTTATCCACTGAGCCAAACTGGTTTTGGCTAGCAGGCTAATTTTTAAGTTGATAATTCTGTTAAGGCTCTTGAATGGTGTTATAAATATGCAAATGGCCCTTGGCAGAGAAAAGGCTCCCCACCCCTGTCCTAACAGCTGTAGGAATCCACCCCATTTCCTTATCCACGAGAAGGAAACACTGGTGGGATCCACTTGACAAGGTGGCCAGGGCTTCTCCAATGAAGAAATGGAGGCTGGTTTGCACTCATTTGGTCTGTCCCTAGAAGCCACCTGAGCTTCCTGCTTGCCCACCCACACAGAACTTGTTAGCGCTTTCCAGGAAGAGTCTGAGAGAACTCCAGCACTTACCTTTGTATCCTAGGTTCTTGGGGCTCGCCATCTCCCCAAGCTAGGACGAAGCATTGCATGTCCCTTTGTGGAGGTGGAAATATGTGGAGCCGAATATGACAACAACAAGTTTAAGACGACGGTTGTGAGTAAGTCGCCTGGATACATCCTTCTCTTGAACTTCAAGCGAGTTGAGTCACATGGTAGGGGTTTGTAAGGCACTTTGCTTGGCCATGTCTTTTCCTTCATCCCTTTGGCTCACTGTGGTTCAGCTTGGGGAGGGGAAACGGAGCCATGTGATTAGTCGGATTCTGCCCCTTGCTGTGATGCTCTGCTGTAATGCAGGCAGCGGGGACGTTGCTCTGTGCCACAGCCCCACCTGCATCTCCTCAGCCCAAGACAGGAGCAGACACACAGAGGAGGTGATGCCTGACCCGCAGGCTGCAGCCTAACCTGGGGGATCTTTTCCCACAGAGGGCAGGGGCACCTAGGAAATGCTTGTTCTTCCATTTTAAGCCAGGAAGACGCCGCCGTGAACTGGGAGACTGGGGTCACTGCTCCCGGTGAGAGGTGGCTCAGTGGCAGCTCACACGCTGACCAGTGAAACTGGCGTTTGTGGAGGGTGGTAGGTTCTCCACTGACAACCACAGACCCATGCTGGCTCTGCCTCTTCAGACAGCCTGACCCACCCCCTCTCCCTCTCGGCTCTCCCATGCCCACCTGTTCCTTCTCTGCTCCGGCCTCCTTTCCCTTCTGCATCCTGGGGAGGTGAGATGGGAGCTGTCTATAGAGGTCTCTCCCGGCCTCCCGCTTTACCATGATTGCCACTGGAAAAGAGATGATTCCTATTTTCTTAGATGCATATGTACACAGTTGCTAAGGAGATTCAAAGCCCCGCCGATGCATGTAAAGATGGTTTTCCCAGGAGGGGGTAGGACAAATGGCGTCTTTAATGAGCTTTCATCACCTTCCAGATGACAATGGCCTAAGCCCTGTGTGGGCTTCCACGCAGGAGAAGGTGACATTCGAAATTTACGACCCAAACCTGGCATTCCTGCGCTTTGTGGTGTACGAGGAAGACATGTTCAGCGACCCCAACTTTCTTGCGCATGCTACTTACCCCATTAAAGGAATCAAGTCAGGTAAGCAGCTTCTCATTAAGAGGTTCGGCGTGGGCTGGCCTTGTTCTGTGGTCTGCGCTGCTGGATTAAAAAGAATGAGAACGCACTGTTCCTGTTTTTTTTCTGAAATCTCTGCAAAACCGATTAGGCGGCTTTGGCGACTGATCTCGTGGTAGTTCCCGTGGGCTGCACACATGCAGGCCCTCATTCCGCACAGGCACCGGGAAGGTGACGGAATTGGCCTGTGAGTTCATTTTCCTCCTGGCACTGTGGTGTGATTTCATTTGGGAAGGTCAGAAGCTGATGCCTGTCCTCAGCCAGAAGCTTGCCTCCTGTTGGGCCTCCCGCCCTCGCCCTGGCCGGGAAGGAGAAGGCCTCCAGCAATGGAGTGAATTAGTCACAGGTCGTAGGTCTGCCTCTTCTGAGGCAGCTGGGAAAATTGCTGAAGCCTCAGGGCTTGCCTCAGGGCTTCACTCGCCTCTTCCATGGGATGGTTGATTTTTTTTTTTTTTTTTTTTTCAATTGTAACTTCTATGCTGAACAAAACCCTATACTTTAAGAAGGGGCATTTTATATTTGCCTGGAACCAAGCGGGGTCATGTGACCAGCTGCTGGGAATCAGGAGACTGTCTGGCCTGGAGCTGTGGCACTCAGATTCCCCCAGGCAGGAGATTTGGGCAGAGGAGCTTGGTGCTGCTTCCTGTATAGTTTCTGATTCTTTTTCCTGCCGGGTTTTATGTAGAATGTTGCCAAACAGACTCTCACTTGATGCTGAGTTTCCTTCTTCCCCTTTCTTTGTATTTGAGATGTAAGATCATATAGATCCTGCTGGATTCCTCATGAGGTCACTGTTTCCCTGTTTTCTAAGCATTCTTTTCTTGATGCTGTTTGGAAACTTTTGGTCCTGTTTCCTGGTGGTCTCCGCGCACGCGCACTCCCCCCCCCCCCCCCCCCCCCCACACACACACACAAGTCTGATCATTTCCATCACTGGGCACTTGCCAGACATGCTGGGGACTCTGGTTAGAACATGCAGGTTCCTGAGCCCATTCCTAGGTGTGGATTCAGCTGGTCCAGGCTGGGCCCTAAGAATCTGCGTGTTTAAGCTAGCTCCTCAGACAGATCTCAGGATGGCACTTGAGAAAACTGAGCTAGACTGGGGCTGCCCATCTTATTACCATCAAGGAAACAAATTCCTAAGCAAATGAGTAGATTAAACAAGAACTTGAGAAGTGTTTAAACTGCCCACTTTTTAGAACTTTAGAAATATACTCTAATAGGAAAGCAAATGCTCATTTGTAAGTCCCAGAGGCCTGATATTGCACAACCCTCCCCCCCTCTCCGTAACTTGCCCACTACGTTAAACCCAGCAATTTAGGTACAATTCTTAACTTTGTAACGTGCCTCTTTTAAAATAAATAAGGCTTAGGACCAATTCCTTTTTATGGTTACTACCCATGTCCACCCTGCATGTGGACTCACCCAGCTGTTACCTCTGTCCCCTGAAAGGCTAAGGGACATGAGCACCGCAGCCCCTCCCAGGGCCTTGGGGAGGTCAGAGCTGATGAACCCTTCTTACCTGCCGCACAGTGTCGAGTTATCTAGAAAAGGCTATGACCCAACTTGGAGATTTAAAGAACAAAGACTAAAACTTCAAGGAGGACGGAAACGGAGACTCTCCCTGTTCCAGCTTCTGACACTGCCTGGCACATCCATATTCATGGAGGAGATGAAATAGAATGAACCAGCCCTTTGTGCAGAAGGCATGGGGGGGGGGGGGGCTTCTGAACTCAAAAATAAACTTTGCCCATTGTCATTAGGGATGCGCTTAAGCTTTTAAGCCAGCAGGAGCTCGGGAAGGAAGGAAAACATCTATTGTGTGAGGTGCCTTAAACTCTTTCCCCTTTAATCCCCATAGCAATCCAGTGAGAGAGGTTTTATCACCTCTGCTTTTTTTAAATTTGGAACACGTTGGGGCCTAGAGATGTTAATGAACTTGCTCAAGGTCACACACCTGTAAGACCATCGCTGGATCCAAATCTAGGAAAGTCTGATCTCAAACCCTGTATTCTTCTAGCTGTCCAGGCTGCCTCTACTCTTGCTACGCCAAAATACTGCTCTTACTTCAAAAGAAGTCTCTAGTCCCCTTTCCTCTGTGACACACCTAGAAACGAACTGTTTTTGGTGAAACTGGCAATCACCTTTCAGTCCTAATCCCCAGCATACAGGCAGGGCTGCTTGTATCCACCAGACCTGGGCAGTGAGGGGAAGTACACGGAGGGGACGGAGCCCACTCTTCTCCAAATCCAGAGGCACATGCTGAGTGCTTCCCCCTTTCCTTGGAACCATGTTCCTGGAGTGCACGGGCTGCCTGGCGGCCTCCTCAGACACCATGGAGCACTCAGATCCCAGTACATTCTAACAGTCTGTCCACAGAGACTGCCTTCTTCCCCACTATCCACAGACCAGCTCCTTAGAGATCCAGGATCTCGGGCCCTGCCCCAGCCCTCCAGAATCTGCATTTTAAGAAGACCCACACGGGGTTCACACCTTCGTTAAAGTCCAGGAAGCTCTAAGCTCGACTGCAAGAATTCTGTGGGGATCCAGGCAAAAGTCACCAAGCATACAAACCAGCAACCAAATTCCCATCACCTGTGTAAAGGGCAAATAGGTCAGGAAACTTCTCTGCAGCAGTATTCCAGGAGAACAATGTCCCCAAAACCCTCCAGGGAAAAGACAGACTCCGGAGTTTTAAACCCACTCACTGGCACTCAGGCATAAAATTAAAGGGCGGATGCATTCAAACATGCACAGTTCAGGGATTATATGTCCCAGGAGTTCATATTGAAGAGAACAAAGACAACGCATTTACCAGCCAAGATAGCAACAGAAAAATTCAGTAAAAGGGTGGTGAGAATTGAACATGTGTTGTTTTTTTTAAATTGTGCATGTTATTGTATCAATTTTATATCACAAAAAGAACACAGTGAAAATAAATATTGAGCACTAGTTAATGAGATGCATGCTGACATATTCAGGGGAAAGTGTACAGATGTCTTCTTTAAAATACACACATGATAGCTTGATGGGTGGAGAAATGTGATTAAAAAAGTATAGTAAAAGGTTAATGATGAGATCTAGGTAATGGTTATATAGGTGGTCCTAATAATATTCTCTTTTAGTTTTGCTGTGTAAATGTCAGAAAAAAATATAACCAAGCCTCCCTTTGTGGGAGAATTATGGTTATAAAATGGAACATACATTATACACCATGCCAGTGTAGAAATAATGCAGTTTTACCAAATTGGGGGGGGGGGGGGGTAAGGTGTACAGGGTTGTGTAAGCATGCCAATATCCTCACCTTAAGCAGTTGATTCAATAGATACTATTCACAGGTCATAAGCCAACTAGTAGTAAAAGGTTCTCTAAGATGAATAAGAATCATCAAACAAACAAAACCTGAATGGTGAAACAGTGGGAGTGCCCCTAATTTAAGTATTGCTTGTCCTGAGAGTCAGTAGATAAAATGCAAATAAAAAGCTTTCAAGTCAGAGAGGCAGGCCCAGGATGGTAGTAGTGTAGGTGAATGCTGAGCTTGCCTCTTCCCAAGAACACTTCAAAAATGTACATCTGTGTTTAGAATAGTTCCTCTTGAGAGACAACAGTGAACCAGCTGAACAGTTTCTAACAAGCAGGAGAAACGGACCACAGAGAGCAGAGTGGGTACCATGACAGCTCTCTGGGAGCAGAGGAAGCAACACAGACCCAGAGGAACAAGTGAGCGCCATTGTTTGTTTTCCCTAAAGCGGGACAGAGTGCAGGAGCGCCACCCAGGTTCTCAGGCTGGCCTGCAGGCCCCAGCAGAAAGAGGAAGGCACCATGGCATGCATACAAAAGTTGGCTTCTCCACCAGGAGATTGATCCAGTGGATACAGCAGGGTGCTGCTTTTTACACCCACTGGACTGAACACACCAGGGACTCCCACTGTCCACAGAAACATAGCAAAGCATGGCAGTGCCCATACACAGAGCTGCCCCAGGCAGAGTGAGTAGGGTAGTCCTCCTGTATGCTTTTTCTCCAGTGAGGCAGTCTTGCATGCAGAGGAGTCCCGCCCAGACCCTGCTCTAAGGGTGGACAATTAAAGCAACAGGACATGCACACAGGGCTGCTGGTGCAGCTGAGCACAGAGGAGCTGCACTGCCTTGAGGGAGCAGAACAAGCAAAGTGCAGCTGTGCATAGATGCACACCTGCCCCACCCAGAGACGGGCAGAACTGGTGGCGCATTAAGATAAAAGCATGGAAAGCAGCCCCACCCAGGCCCTGACCCTGTTCTGATCACAGACAGAGCAACAGGGAACACCAAGAATGTACCTAGCACCCCATCTACATCAGATAGCCTCACCCAGACTAGAAGGGCAAGGAAGTGCACACAGCAGACTGGCTCCACTTGAAACCTGTTACTCAGTCCAAGGAGACACAAAGGCACCTCATATACCTTCTGTGAATATAACTGGACTGCCGAAACTATTCAACTCCTAGTCTATAGTGAGACCACTCTTTCAAGACAGGGAGGGGTAGTTAGTCTACGCAACTCCTAGGAACAAACACAGTAAGTCAAACAAAATAGGGAAACAGAAGAATTTGTCCCAAATAATAAGAAAAATCTCCAGAAAAAAACCCTAATGAAGCGGATGTAAGTAATTTGCCTGATTTTTCAAAAAAATGGTCCTAAGAAAACTCAATGAACATGGTCATGCAGTAGAGAAACTCAGCACTATAATGAAGAGAGAGAAAATGTAATAAAGAAGCAATCAGAGATAAAGAATACAGAATGAATTAGCAGATTAGTTAATACAGAATAATGGATTAGCTACCTGGGAGACAGAAAGGAAAAATAATTCCATCAGAAAAGCAAAATGAAAAAAATTTAATGAAGGTAATATAAGAGATCTCTGAGATAATATCAAACATCTTAACATTTGCATTATAGGGAGTCCAGATGGAGAAGGAAAATAGAAA